ACTGGCTGGGGCCCCGAGCGGCGCCCGCGACCCCGGCCTCCGGCATGGGCGCCCTGGCGGTGCAAAGCAGCTCCCCGCCGGCTGGTGAGCGACCCCGGAAAGCGGGGGGGGAGAGGCGCGCCGAGCCCGCCGGGCCAGGTGAGGGGCTGCGTGGGGAAGGGGTAAGGTGGTCCTTAGAAGAGACCAGGGACTCTTGGGGCCTTTGCGGAAGCCCTGGGAAGGGCTCGGGGCCACGCTGGGAGTCCTACTTGGAAACAAGGGAGATTCCCAGCGGAACCTGCTGGCTTCGAGTCAGGCCCCCAGTGCGACGGCCAACGCTTTCTCTCCCCAGCCCGCCAGCGGTGGGGTTTGGCCCGCGAGGGGCGCTGGAAGTGGCCAGGCCAGAGAAATTCCTTCCATTTCCCTGCCGGCTTCGGGGAACGGGTTCCAGAAGCTGGGGAACTTCGGGCTGGGTTCCAGGAGCGCCAGCCGAGAGGGACCGGCATTGCGCGGTGCACCCCCTTTTTGGGACTGAGTCGAGAAACCCAGCCTGGGGAGGGTCACACGGAGTGATTTGGCCTCGGGTCCCGTGTCTCCCAGGCGTGTTTTCTGTCGCAGCATTTTCTCTCCTGACAGTGGCCTAATACTTGGGGGAGAGCAGTATTTCCACAGTGTTGAGGGCAAGGCACAGTGCCTTGACTTCGGCACATTCCCTTTTTACACCTCCACTTTTGATGGGTGATTTGGTGGACGAGAGAAATGCTGCAGAGAAGGTTGACAGTGAATTATTAATTTGGGTTTGGGGCTAGTATTATGGATATGCTGGGAAAACGCAGACTAGGCAGAGGTAGGTAGGTTCACAACAGGTATACCCAAAAGGTGCTGATGGGTTAGCCGGCTGCTGTCCACCTGGCCTGGGGCTCTAGGGCTGCAAGGCTTGATACTAGACCTACTCGAGGTGAACGTTTAGATCAGTGACTTGGATGAAGACTTAAAAAGGAAGGCAGCAGACTCTGTAGTGACCCAGATCTGAGAGAAATGACAAGCGTATAGTATGAGAAAATCGAGATTCTGAATGATGGCAATGGGGCAGAAGGATGGGCCAAGACTAACAATATGAATGTGGCAGATGATGAATGTTGAGGCCTGTGCTGGAGTTAAGAAAATCAGCTCGGGAGGAGTTCAGACCTGTGCCTGGCTCAAAGGCCCAGCAACCTAGGCTTCCCCTCGTCCTTGGGGTGGTGGCTGTCAGACTGCTGTGCACACTATGCAGGGCCAAGGCGGTGGAGGTAGGGGGAGGATGCTTGGTCCTGGGCTACCTGGTTGGGCTCCCTGGGTTCTAATCCCAGCTTTTTAAAGTTCCTAGCTGTGCGACCTTGGGCAAGTTGCTTAATATTTCTGGGCCTGTTTCTTCATTGGTAAAATGTGCATAATAATCCCTTCCTCATAGCGTTGTGAGGCTGAAATGAGAAAATGTGTGTAAAGTGGTTGGTAATGTATCTAGCACATGTTCAACAAAGATTAGCTGCTGTTGTTATTATTAATAATAGTAATAGGCCCATTTCTGGGTGGGGATGTTGGCCAATGCAGAGCTTGTGTCCAGGAGGCCACCAGGATTACAGAGGGTCTGTCAGCCGTGTCCTGTTACAAGGGGGAGTTTAGTTAAGAAAAGACTCAAATACTTGGCAGGAAAGACTAGAAGGAGGTTTCTAGTGAGCCCATGCAGGGGACAGAGCTGGGATCCAGGGCTGGGATCTTCTGGAGTCAGGGTTGTGATTCAACATAAGGAAGAACTCTCTGTTGGATCCGCCCCAAAATGGATGGAACAGCTCCTTAGCTGAAATGTTCTCCCCGCCTAGCTGACCCTCCTCCCAGCCCAGCTCCATTGCAGGCATGTGTGTGTCCTCCCCTCCCCTCATTCCACAAACACGAACTGAGCAACTGCTAGTCGTGAGCAGGGTTTAGAGATTGAAGACTCTGCAGTGATCGAGACAGACAATGTCCTTATAGTCTAGTTGGGTAGAGAGGTGATAAGTGAACAAATGAACATCAGCCCTATGGAGAGAATGATTATGGGTTAATGTAGTGGGGTGGGCTAGAGGCTCTTTGAGGAGGTGAAATGGGAGTGGAAACCTGACTGATGAGGAGGAGCAGCCATGCAGACCTGGGGCAGTGACTTTCTGGGCAGCGGGAGCAGCCAGTGCAAAGGCCCTGAGTGGGGAAAGAAGGCCCATGTGACTGCAGCACAGTGAGGGGACTGGAGCACAGGGAGGGGAGGGGAGGTGGGGAGGAGGAGCAGGAGCTGGGTACTGAGGTCTGGCCTGATGCCCCTCCCCATTTCAGGAGATCACCACGTTTTCCTCCTCTAAGCCCACTTATCCCTTGGTTTGCCCCTGCACAGGCTGATTGTAATTGACTGTGGTTCATTCCCCCATCGTAACCTCCCAGGGCCCCAGGATCTTGGTTTGCTTATTTTTGGATCTCCCACTGTTCGTGGCATGCTGCCCAGCTCACAGTAGGTCCTCAGTAAATGCTTGTGGTATGACTACTGAGAAGGAAATTTTGATATGGGACAGGAGATGGGATCAGATACCTATTCTGAGATGTTATGAATCACTTTCTGGGCACCAACTGGTCTGGCTCCTGTTCTCAGACACAGGTGGGGACAACCTGGGCACTCAGGTTGGGCCTAACTATGGTGGGTGGTATCTGACCCTCCCTACCCTTCCTCCTCAGCTGTAGGTTGGCAGGGAGAAAAGGGAAGGTTGGGTGGACCTTCAGACCTATTTCTGAGATATAGGAGGATGACACTGTCATTTGGGGAAGCAGGTGTAGTCCATGGGCTGAGACAGGCTTGAAGCCTCATTTGCTTTCTGTTTGGGGTTGGAAGTGCTCCACGTGTTCTAGTCTACCCTACCTTCCCTCCTCCTGTGGCCTTCCCTTCCTGCTCCCCTTTATACCCACAGGTGTGTGAGGGATGCTGGTACCTCTGTAAGGGGAGACTGGGTTCTCTGGGCCAGACAAACTCCCCTTAGCCTGTGGACCCTGGGGCAGAGGTTTGGAGGGCGAGGAAGCTCATCACCCACCCTCTGGGGCCCTCGTCCTCCTTGCTTCTTCTACCTCCCATCATGGAAACATCTACTTCCCTTTTCCCAGACCTGGTCTTGTCTGAAGGGCAGTCCAGTAGCCAGTGGAGGCCAAGCTTGGCTGGTCCTGCCCTCACTCCAGGGCCCTTTCAAGAGAGAAGAGTGCTGAACGAGGGTGGGAAAAGGGAAGGGGAGATGTGTGGGTGGGGCTCCCTGGCTGAAGGGTCCTTTGGCACCAGTGGGGTCAGTGGGGAGAGCTGAATAGGCTGGGGGGAGAGGGCTGTGTACACAGTTGGCTTCCACTCTGGAAGGAGCAGCCAGATGCCCAGAAGTGGCTTGGAATAGGAACCAGGGTCTGGAGTTACCTTTTATGTGTCCTCATTTAATTTCTTCTGATAATAATATATAGCACGTACTTGTATCCAGCACTGTTCTAGTCCTTTACACGTATTAATTCATTTTAAGCCTGATGATAACTCTATGATTGTTAATTTTAGAGATGTCGATTACAGATTGTCATTTTTACAGGTGAGGAACATGAGGCACAAAGAGATTATGTAATTTGCCCAAGTTAGTAAGCAGTGGAACCAGGATTTGAATCCAGACAGTCTGGGATCCGGCATCTGTGCTCTTAACCACTCTACCTAAGTTAGGCCTTCCTGTTTGGGGACTGGAGTCCCAAACCAGAAAATTCCTGAGAGTCCCCCTTGCTCTGGGCTAGAAGGTTAGAAGGCTAGGCTGCCTGAGACAGGGGCAAGAAGCCTGTGCCCTATGGGGGCCTCAGAGGCTTCAAGGGCTGATCTGGAGCCCCTTAAGAAGAGAGGGGTATTCTGCTGTGTCTTCACAATAGAATGAATACGTTTTGTGTACACCAAGGATTGAGAGCCAGGAGTGGGGTGTGAGGCCAAAGGGCCAGGTCCTGGCATGTACAAGTATCTTGATGGCTCTAAGATGCCCCAGATGCTATCTGCAGCTCCTGGCCGCACCCTACACCCCCCAGCTTTGATTGCCTGGGGCATGGGCCCCCATGCTGTGCCGCCCAGCCCAGGAGGTCCTTGTCTCCATCTTGAGCCCCGAGTCTTGCCCCTGCTACCACTCCTGCGTTTCCTGGCTGTGCTGTCTCCAGGGAATGACCCTGCTGGCTAGTTTCTCTTCACTCACACTGACTCTCCCTCCATAGGCCTCCACCATGGGCAGAGGCCAGCTCCTGCCCCTCCCTGGTGTCCTGGTGCCTTTTGCCAGGCCCTGAAGGCCGAGGGGATGGTATGAGTGTTGACTGAGGCCTGTCGGTCCATCCAGAGTGGTAAGTGCTCTGCTGTTGTCCTTTGTACACCCTGGGGCCCCCAAGCAGGTGGGGTTGGGGGGCAGAGGTGGGTATAAAGCTGCCGAAGAGGATGTGGTTTGGGGGATAGAGAGGGAAGCCCTCCAGAGGCGGAGGCGAGGTGCTGCTCAGTGTGGGGAGATCTGATTTCTATGGAGGTGGGGGTAATGGGGTGGGGATGGGGAAAGCCTCATTTTCTTAACAGGATAGGCTGGAGGGCTCTAAGACCGGGTGATATGGGCTGGTGGGGTGGGGTGGTTGGTGGGGGATGACAGCTGTTTCAAAGGCAGCACGTGCCTGGTTCCAGGAAGTGCATGAGGTGAGGTTGGGTAGCCCTGGGCTGGGCTGGGAGTACAGTGGGGCATACATGGCGGGGGGAGCTGGCCTGACTCCAGAGTGTAGACATCGCACCAGGGGAGTGCAAGAAGAGAAAAAAGTCTGGACTACCCTCTCCCTCTGCCCCCTCCTCACCATGGCAGGCCTGTAGGTCCTGGGGAGTCTGTGGTATGAGGAGGTGACCTTTGTGAATGCTGAGGCAGGGACAGACCCTCCACTAGTCAGCCAACATCATTGAGAGGGAAAATTCCAACTTGTGGCTGTGGCCAGAGGGATCCTGGGCCATCTAGTGCTTCCTCTCTTCTCATAGATGAGGAAACTGAGTTAAAGAGGAGCAAAGTGACTTTTCAAGCCCCTGCATTGAGGAATTATAGAGCCAAGCCTAGCGTCCAAGTGAGCCCAGAGGTGTAGACTGATGGTGGAGGACAAACCTATCTTGTCTGAAGGTGCTTCCAGAGAAGGCACAAGCTGATCCATGGGTGAGGGGTATGGGGTGGGAATGGGATTTCCACCAGGCTGTTCCCTGGGGACCTGAGATACTGAGATGGGGGGATGGGGCTAAGGGCACCATAGTCCTGGTTACTGTGCTTGAGGGAGCTGGAGTTCAACCTGGCACCCTGGACAGTGGCCCTGTGATTCCCTTCCTCCTTCCCTGGACGGAGGACCATCTCTGAGCATCAGTCCCCTCAGGCCTTGAGAGATCTGGGAAGAAGCAGGAACTGGCTCAGTATCTCGCCCAGTCCCCCAAACACTGTTGCCTCATGTGGAGTTGGTATTAAGGGTGCAGGGTCCCAGAGAGATGGCTGAGATGGGAAGACAGGGTGTCCAGTCTGAGCCTAGATGGAAGGAGGGAAGCCCTGGGAAACAGGGCCTCCCGTTCCAGGGGCTGAGCTGGGTGTGCACCTGGCCTCCTGCTGGTAGCAGGCTCTGTGCCACCAACCTCGGACTGGGGACAGGGAGAGGGATTACTGTAAGTGGGAGAGGCAGGTGTCTCTGGTCAGCTGGAGATCTGGACTTGGGAAGCACGTGAGTGAAGATGACAGCAGGGGCAAGATGTCTTTCCCTCTACGTGTCCCCCACTTCTGGCCCAGCCCAGACCCGGCTTCCCGAGCACCCAGCCTTCCCTCTGGGCACCCAGCAGCTCTGGTGGGCAGAATTCCTTTTGTTTATCCCGTTGTCTGGGTGATGATGGTGATCGGGTGGAATTCCCATGCTGGGTACACTGCCAAGGCCACCCTGAGGGGCTGCCAACTGGGGCCCCATGAGTGTTGGAGCTGCTGGTCTTGTGACGTGGGCACCTGTCTGCCAGGCCTGGGCATGGGCCCAGGGTCACGCTCACACTGGGGCTCCCATCAGCTGACTATTTTGGTCTCTTGCTGACCTGGGCCAAAGTCAGGCACCAGCCAAGAGTGCCCTGAGGCAGCTCCCCCCAGCCCCAAGGGCCAGCTCTGGTTTCTGCTATATAAACCGAGGAGGACACGCTGGCTTGGAGACAGCCCCACATCCAGAGCCTGCTCGGCTGGTGCACAGCCTCAGCTGGGGAGGACAGGGGGACTGAGCAGTCACATCTCTCCCTACAGAGCTCCCTGAGGCTGCCAGCAAGAGCCCCCAACCAACCCTGGGATTCCCCCTTCCTGTTGGGATCTCTGAGGGTTAAAGCAGATTGTGAGGAAGAAGCTGGTGAGTCTTGGGAATGGGGACACTAAGAAATGGGAGCGGGGCTGTTTGGATTTTTTCCATTGTGACCATCATGCCAAACCTTTGGCCCTGAGAGGAGGGGGAGAGTAGGGGGAGAGTAGGAAGCAAGAGTGGCTGACTGTCCCAGCGAATGAGTGCAGCGTGACCCCAGTTGGGAGTTGGAAGTTGGACTTGGGACCACTTTGTGATTGAGAAATGGGGATGTGGAAATAGGTGATGCTGTCTGTCTCTTTCCTCAGAGATCTCCTACAGAGTCTTGATCCCTTTCTCCCAACCACAGGGCCTGGACGAAGCACAGGTCTGCATGAGCAGGGGAGGGACGCTGGAGTGAGGTTGGTGTCCATCAGGGAACCTCAGGATTGGTCTCTGAAAGGAGTCCCTGAGCCCCCACTGGTCAGGACTAGGTGGCTGGGGCCAAGGGCTTGGCTTCCTGCTGAGCCTGCAGCCCCTGCCTGCTCTCCTTGCCGGGCCTCCCAGCTGCTTTGGGGGCCTGAGAAGCAGGGCTGGAGTGAGGTCTGGCAAGTCCGCCAGCCGGCTTGCCGCAAACACGCTCCTGGGACCAGGGCCAGGGGCTTTGGCCCGACATGGAATAAGTGGCGGCTCCTGACGTGGGAGACTCTTGTGCTCTCCTTCTCAGTTCTCAAAAAAATTTTTTCCCCTTTCTGAACGTGAGTCTCTAAATGAATCCAGAGCCTGCAACTAAAAATACTTTAACAATAGGAAAGTGCATCAGTCTTTCCGGCTGGGGCTTGTTATCAGAGGGTTTTTATTTTGGAATTTGAAATTTTGCCTGCGAAGTTTGGGTGGAGACTTTGGGCAGAGGCAGGGGAATGTGGAGGGTGTCTGCATTCTGCAAGGTGGTAGGGGACCCTCCGAGGCAGGAGCAGAGGAGCTGGCCAGGAGCTGAGCAGACTGAGCAGCATGGAGGGAGATTTGAGGAGGTTGCAAACGAGGCGAAGGCCGACCTTTCCCACAGGAACTCCATGATCTTGTCTGTGTCTTCCAGCTCTGTTGGCTGTTCTTCCTGAAGTCTGATATTATTCCTTTAGCTGTATGTTCATTTCTTCTGGTCTCAGAGGGAGGTGGAGGGAGAGACATCTCTGGACTGAAGATAGCGTCTGTGGCCATAGCCTAAACTCCTTAATTAAACAGCTTTCACCAGAGTGTTGATTGAGCACTTGCTGCATACAGAGTCTGGAAATTTCCTGGTGCTAGGTGGAACCACATCTCTGGGCGCACTCTTATTTCCTCTCACTCAGCCCTGGAGGGGGAGAAGTGGGGATGGGGTCACTGTTTATCTCTAGTTCTTGGAGGAGGACAGCTGGCTCCCTGGTCCACCTGAGGACCCTGGTGTTTCTCATCCCTGCCTGCCGCTCGCCAGTCCCAGGCTTCTACTGCAGGTCCCTAGAGCCAGGCCCCAGACAGTGCTCCATTTTGATGCTGAACCTCTCCCTTCCGTTAGCAAACTCAGTTCTCCCAACACTGGGACTGTAATGTTGTCTGCATTGGGTAGATGAGGAAACAGTCTTGGAAAGGGCAAGGCACCGGCCCCAGGTCACACACCAGGCTTGCTGGCTGCTGGTCAAAGATGTCTCTGATAGCTCTTACATCTTTTGCCCTGCTGAAAGTTGGGGGGAGGGGTGGAGGACACTGGCTGACCTGCCTGTGTCCTTGGGAACCTGTTTCTGGGGAGGTGAAGATATGCGTGATCATGGCAAGGCCTGGGCAAGGGCCATGAGATCAGAGGCCTGGGCCTGACTCTTCACCCCAGTTCCCAGAGCTGCCCATAGGAAGCCCCTGGGGCAGTAGGCAGTGCTTCCCTGCCCACAGCACAAATCCCCCTGCCCACTGCCAGGGCAAGAAGAGGAAGTGGCCGTGTCAGGGCTGGTGATAGGCATGGGACTGGGGAGGGGAAGCTCCCGGGGCCACTTCTTAGTGGGAGGAGGCAAAGCTCACTCCCTCTGCCCACCCCGTGGGAAGGGTGTGGAGGCCCTTGGGTGGGGATGGTCTCAGTGAAAGTAGGGCAAGTTCCTGCTCTGCTCAGCTGGGATGGGACGGGGCCCAGCCCAAGGTGGTGCGGGGTGGGGGGAGACAGTGTGGGCAAGGGCTGTTCAGTTCTACTTCCTCCATCCCCTATTCACGAGCTCCACACCCATCCTCTTGGCTGGGGAGTGATGGTGGACACTGGCTGCCCATTTGGGGCCTGCCCTGGGCTACATACTGTTGAGGATGCACAAAGGGTCCTTCTGCCAAGGTGGGGAGACTGTGCCCTTGCCCTCATGTTTACACACTGGGGAGGGATGGGTCTGAGTGCCTGATACGTTCCCGGGCCCCGTAAGACTTGACTGAGAGGGTAAGGCTTGGGGAATGGTTCAGAAAACCTGTGTTGTCAGCATGAGGACCCCTTTCTAATATCAGATGTTGCAGCCCCTCCTAACTGTAGTTGTTCTCTATCTGTTGACAGAACAAATACATAATGAGAAACAGCCACTGTGATTTCAGGAACGCACACTTGAGTGAATTTGTACTCAGTAAATTTCAGTTGCATCTTTATCCATTTGAATAGATGTCTCTCCCATTTAGGTATGGCTATTTTCTAAATAAACTTTTTTGGGAAAGTATAACATACATACAGAAAAGTGCACACAACATAGGGGTACAATCTTAAGAGTATAGTTTGATGATTTTTCCAGAATGAACACACTTGGGTGACCATTGTCCAGACTGGGAACTACAATGCTTCCAGTGCCACCAAAGACCCCCTGGTAGGCACCTCTATTTTCAATTTAGAGGCCATATGTGTGTACCTCGTTCTGTGGTGCACTTATAAGAATCAAGGCCTATGGGGCCAGAAGCCACAGCCTGTGGAGTTCAGTGTCAAGGGCAGTGGGCCCAGCACAAAATGGGGAGTTAGGAGACCTGAATTTGAGTCCTGCCCCTGAGCCTCTGTTTCCTCACTTACAAGATGAAGGTTGTAATTCCAAACTTGGAAGGGAGGGGAGAATGTTAAATGGAAGAATCCATGTGAAGTACCCTGCCCAAGGTCTGACCCTTGATTGGTACTCCCTCTCCCTTCCCCACCTTCTTCCCCACCCCCAGCGAGAAGGTGCTTATTATTAGGAGTTGGACTGGTCCCGGGGGATGGCATATGAGCCGGAGTCTTGGAGGATCAGCAGAATTAGAGTAGAAGGGAAGAAGAGGAACGATGTGCCCAGTGGGTGAAACAGTATGTGCAAAAGTGGGTGGTGGGAAGGGTCCCCCATATAAGGACCTTTAGTTTTGGATATCTCTCCCATCATTGCCTGTTCTGGTCAACCCCCACAACCCCCATGAGCTATTCACTCTGACCTGATTCTTGAAGGCTGGACTTGGGGGTCCATTGGAGGTTTGTGTCCAGTCTGGGACCAGCTTTTGCTCTAGGCCTCCAAAACTCTGCATCAGTTATGCCTTTCCCCAGAGTTCTACCTTAGCTGAACTCCACCCCTGCAGAGCCCCAGGCCATCCTCCCTGGAGGGCCCATGAGGCCTGGGATCCCCAAGCCTCTCTGCCTCTCTCTCCTCTGTCTTAGGCTAGGTGCTCCATATGGGTGCCTGCCTGGGTGGCCCTGGCTGTATTTCCACAGAGGGATTCTGCCTTTTTCTCCTTATTTACTTATTTTCAGAGTGTGGTGTGTTTGAACCCCCTAGCATCCCTGCCTTCACAAGCATGGCCAGGTGGCAGCTGTAGTTTCTCACCTTCTTTCTGGCTTCAGGGAAGCAAGACTGTAGCCTCCACAACCTGTAGAAGCTTGGCGAGGTGGGCCCTGGGCTGCAGGCACAAATCTAGAGATGAGATGCTGAGATGCTGAGGTTCAGACCAGGGACCTGGACAGCTCCCTACCGTATTTGAGTTCCCTAGGACTCATGGGTGGACCTACCCCACAGGATGGTCTATGCCACTTTTTACGAATGCAAAGTTGTGGGGAGGGGAGGAGAATGCTAGGGCTCAAGGCTGGCTCAACTCTCTGAGTTGAAGTAAGGCTGGGCTTGAGCACAGTCTGGTCAGCCACAAGTACTCCTGTTTTTGCAGGTTGGAGGGAAGAACATTGACTTGGCTAATAATCTTTGGCTGACATATTAAAATTGGTCTTATTTTGGGCCGGCCCGTGGCTCACTCGGGAGAGTGCGGTGCTGATAACACCAAGGCCCCGGGTTCGGATCCCACATAGGGATGGCCGGTTCGCTCACTGGCTGAGCGTGGTGCTGACAACACCAAGTCAAGGGTTAAGAACCCCTTACCGGTCATCTTTGAAAAAAAAAAAAAAAAAAAAAAAAATTGGTCTTATTTTCTGAGGAAGGCCCTGCTGAGGTGGAGGGAGGCATCCCAGGGTAGATGGGGGGCTAGGTAGGGAAGCCAGCCTGTGACACATGGGGGGCCAATTTCACCCAGCACAGACTTGCTGTGTGCTCCTGAGCAAGTTGTAGCTCCTCTTGGAACCCTCAGGTCCTAATCTGAAAAATGGGAGGTTTTGAATTATTTTAGTGGTTTCAAACCTTTTTTTAGCTGTGGAATCATTTTCCACAAAAGGATTCCATAAAGTCCAAGCTAAATCTTATGCAAAAGCCTGAAAGGAAAACAAAACTTTGGCTGAAGTGGGGTGGGGATTCTGGATGGGTCTACTTGGCACCAGGATCCTGCCTATGCTTCACCTTTACCCAGGTGGCCTTGAAGGTCTTTGGAAGGTAGCTAGGGAAAGCTCAGAGCTCTCTGCAGACTCATTCATATTGACATTGTGTGCTGGGGATGGGGGAGCTCTGGCAGAGTCTGTCCAGATCACTGAATGAGATTGGTATTACATGAAGACTGCTCCAGCCATGGTGGACAATGAGGATTTAGAAAGAGGAGCTAGATTGGTAAGGGGTGGTTTTCTTAATGGGCGTGGGCAAGGAGAAGGGTAGGTCATTGGGTGTACCCAATTGGTCTGCCACACCAGTGAGGTGTGGGCTGTGGCTGGCAGTAGGAATAAGGGGGATCTAAGAGATGTTCCAAAAAAGAATTTCAGGAAAAAATGACAGGTTGCAAAGGGGGCATCAGGTGCAAGATGAGGTGGCAAGCAAGGAGTGCAGACATGTCAAGCTCTGTCTGGAACAGATGAACTTTGAGGTGCTTGTGGGGCCTTTGAGTGGGCAGAAGTGGGAAAAGGTGTGGGAGGCTGTGTTGGGAGATGTGAGCAGAAGTGAGGAGCAGGCAGTACCTCAAGGGCAAAGGGAAGTGCCATAGGGTGACCAGATGAGGTGGGAGCGGGCTTGGTGGGTGCAAGCTCAGTGGAAGCAGAAACTTATGGATGTTGACTTACAGGGAAGTAGGGGAATGGGTAGGGGTCCCCGTGGGGTGGAGAGCTCTCTTCTCCTTGTCCGTATTAGCCCTTCTTCCTTCCTCTTTCCTTGCTGGTGAGGGCTCCCCAGGGTTGGGGCGGGATGGCTGTGAAGGGGTGACAGCCAGACCAGGGAAGGCTGCAGGTGGTTGCAACCTGGTCTGTGCTCTGATACAGCCCTGGCAGGCCCTTCCCCGCCCCACGGGGCAGGTGACAACTGGTCAGAGCTGCTCTCCCCACGGCTGCTGGAGGTGGGGTGGGAGGGCTGTGCTCCTTCGTCATGGCCAGGGGGAGGGGGTATTAGTAGGAGGGTGTGAAAAGATTCCCTAGAGATGCAGTCCGAGGCCCTAGGTTCCACCCCGGTGTGCCACCACCTCACTGTGTGACCTTGATTTGAGCAAGTGCCATTATTTTTCTGAGCCTGTTTATTTATAAAATGGGGAAGAGTTGGCACAAGTTTGAAAAGGTTTCTCAGACTCCACCCGGTTCTGAAATTCGGTAATTTCCCAACCAGGGTGCACTCGCCCTGTTAAGGGGCTGGGGAGGGTACTGGTAAGAACCAACTTCAGCGTGTGGTGCAGAGCTCACTGGTGGAGCTTGGGCCTGGAAAACCCCTGCCCTCGAAGGTACTTTGCTGGGACGGCCCTCGAAAGTACTTTGCTGGGACGATTGCCTGGAGGGACTACGCGGGGACTCTAACTGATGTCTCTGGGGTAACCTCTCAGCCTGAGACCCGGCTGGGGCAGACGCGTCAAGTGCACAAGCTGCGCCTTGGGCTGTGGTGGGGCGCAGGGTCCCCAGGCTATGTCCCTGGATTGGCCGCCCCGCACTCGGCCTGCCCTGGTCTCCCAGCAGCGGCAGAGGGCGACACACCGGGCCTCCCAGAAGGGTGCAAAGGAGGGGCCGGGTGCGCAGGGAGCGGGAGGGACCGGGCGCGGTTGGCTCCGGGGAGCAGCCGGAGGGTGAGGAGATCCTCGTCCGGGGAAGCCCCGCGACAGCGGCTCTGGAGCGCCCTCTTCTCGGGCTTCTGCCCTGCCGGCCGGTTATTTCGGACCTGGGGGCTCCCGGCCGGGTCCTGGGTCCGGCGAGGGGGAGCCTAGTGGGTCCAGGAGCTGCTATTTTTAGGTGGCGCGGCGGGCGTGAGGCGGCTATTTATAGATCAAACAATCCGCGCTCCCTGCGTCAATGGAACCCCTCGTGCGTCACGCGCGCAGACATTCCAGGCCCCCTCTCCTCGCCCCGCCCCCTCCTCGCCCCGCCCCCTCGGGCTCCCCGTCCCCGCGCCTCCCCCTGGCCGGCTCTCGCCGGAACCGCGCCGCCCCCCGCGCCCTTGTATGGCCAAAGCTTGCCGGGCCGCGTGCGTCAGTGCCCCCGCCCCTCCCCGTGCGTCACGGAGCGCTTAAGAGGATGGTCTGGCTCGCCCGGGGAGCCCCACTGGCGGAGGCTGCGAAACTTGGGGAAGTGAGGAGGAAGGACCGCGGGAGCGCACGCGGGACCAGGCTGCGACTCGGGGCGTCGGTCCCGGGCAGGGGGAGCAGGAGCCGGCCGGGTAGGTACCCCCGCGGGGAGCGTGCATCTGTTTTTAGAGGTGGTGTATGAAGGAGTTGGGTGTACAGAGGGCAGAAGGGATGTTGCAGGCTCGGCATGCAGGAGGAGGGCGCGTGTAGAGTGCAGTTCTTTCGTTGAGGGGTAGCGGTTGCAGCGGGATGAGGACCCAGATCGGACTGGAATCTGTGGAGTGGGGCTGGAGTGTCTTGCAAGGTGGAAGCCGCAGGGGGCTGGGGTTGGCGCCGGGAGTAGGGGCTTGTCCAGCTGTCTCCAGGGTGCCCAAGTGGGCACACGGTGCTCTGGACCTGGGTGCCGATAAGGGAGGGAGGTCTCAGTACAGTAGAGGAAAAGGTACATAGAGCTTTGGCACTGCTGGGATCCGTCCGACTCCAACCAGGATTGGATTTCCAAAAGGGTCTCCTTCTTCCCAGTCTGTTAGCCCCCCTTCCCTTCGCCCCGGTTGCTTTCCTCACACTTTAGAGGCTGTAGCTTAGTTTGCAGAGATTTCCCACCCAGAACTTTCTGCCTGAAGTATATTAAACCTCTAGATTGCCGAAGGAAATGGCTAGGCTGGTGGCTAAATTATGGAAGGTGTCAGCTGTGTGTTGGAATAAAGGAGACTTCTTGGGGTCAAGGGCAGGGTCTCTGGAAGCACAGGGAGGATTGTTTTAGCTGTGGTTTGGAGAGTGTGTATGTGTAAGAGAGAGCGCACGAGAGAAAGAGAGATGTGGAAACCCTCGATCTTGGGGATCCTGGATGGAAGCTGCTCATGTTGGAGTCTTGCGGTGGTGCTACCTGGAGGATAGTGCCCTTCTCCTTACCACCATTCCAGCTCTACATGCTGATCACCTCTGTGCCCCCTCCCCCAGTAGTCCCTGTTGGGTCTTACAGGTAGGGTGCAGTCTGAGTCTTGTTCAGCAGAACAGGTGCAAACCACATTGTTGCCAGGACCTGCCTGAAGCCGGATTCTCCCCACTCCCTTTTCAACCCCGCCTCTTCCTCCTCCTTGTGAGACTGCTCCCCCCCACCATGAGACTAAATAAATGTATGTCCACATTTTGTGTTGTTAGGTGCCTGCATGCAGGGAGGGGATAGGTTCATGGGGGTTGATCCGGATGTGGGACGTCCAAGTGGAGAAACAGGATTTGAATAAGGCTGGAACGAACACCTAGTTCTAGGCTGCCACCTTTCCTCCTCCACCCCCAACCCATCCCTGCCCAGGCTGTTCTGGCACAGGCAGACGTGGTCACCCTTATCTTGCAGGTGCTGTATGCCCATGGACGGATGCCACTGGGTGGGTGGGGCCTGGGCTTCGAGGGGCTCTGTCGTCAGGGTTGGTTGAGTGACTGTCAGCCTAGGGGTGGAGCTGCCCTGACCAGTGTCCACAGAGGTGAGAGAAGGGGCTAGGACCAGAGAACTTCCTGGGCTCTTGGCCAGGAGGTGGTGACAGCCTTGCCCCCATTGCCGTACCCCTTGATTATGGTACTCTCTGTTCCAGCTTGGTTTCTTATCCAGTTTCTTTCCCTGACTGGTGAGGCCAGAGTTATGCAGACCCCAGGCATGGAGATGGGGAGAGAGTGTGTCCCAGAGTCTCCTCTGCATTATTTTATTTTTTGACCCGTCTGTGAATTTAAGGATTTCCCCTGAAAGAAGCTATCTCTGTTCCTTCAGGCTCCTCAGGATTGGGAGTGTGTAACCTCCTTTGCCTGAGCCCCTGGATTCTTCAGGGCACAGACTCTCCTTTAGTAGAAGGACCCAGGCAGGGGCAGGACGTCTTCCATCCACCCTCAACAGACTCTTCCTTCCTGCATAGCCACCTTAAGACCTCTGCAGGACTTCGTTCTCATAGAAAAAAACTGGGGATAGCAGAAAATTCCTCTTAGGGACTGTCCATTCTCCTGGAAGTCCAGGGGGCTGTTTTCTCTTCCTTCCTGCCAACACCCTCTCTGCCAACACCCTCCCGCACCCCCGCCTCCTTCCAGCATATGGCCTTTAGAGGTCTGGAGCCAGGTTACCTGATCCCCTGGGGACCTGGGGACAGTGTAAGTAGGCCTGTGATCCCTTCCTCTTTGCTTCTGGGAGTGTCCCAAGCAGTGCAGAGTGGGCCCAGATAGCAGGACTGGTGTGCGTGTGGGATCTTCTGCCTTTGCTCAGTATGTAGGGTGGGGGCGGGGATGGGGGACAGGCTGGGGAGGCTGCATTGCTGCTTAGGTTGCCCTCTTAGACAGCTGGGCCCTCACTCCCAGCTCCTCTTCCATTTCCAGGATGTCGTTCTTCCCAGACACTGTGGGGAGGAGAAGAAGGGGTTTTGCAGAAGCTGGGGTGTGCCTGGGAATATTCCCAGGAAGCTCCTGGTTGGAGAAACAACATATCTACTCCTGGGAGCTGGGCTGAGGCTCTGCTAGGCTGCCTATCCCACCCACCCTTCTCCCAGCCCCCTCCCATGCCTTTCCCGGTGGGGGAGGGGCAGGGGGCTGGAGGAACACAGCTTCCCCCTGTTTCAGCAGAGAAATGCTGGCTGGATGCCTTCCCTAGGGTTCCCAGGCTGACTGGGGTGTGGCTGGCCTTCTGACTGAGCCCACTCACTGCCCAGGGGCTTTGTGGCTCATAGGTTGAGATGGTGCTCCGGCCAGGGGTTCCTGGGTTCTGTGGTGGGCCCTGGCCCTGATGTGTCAGTGTCCCGTCTCTAGGCTGGGATTCCTGCCACCTGGCTGTTCTGGGGCCTATACTTTGAGATCAGGCTTCAGACTTCTTTCATTTACTGCTCCTCTCCTTCGTTTCCCTCTCCAGAGATGCCCTGTATCCAAGCCCAGTATGGAACACCAGCACCAAGCCCAGGAGCCCGTGACCACCTGGCAAGTGACCCCCTGACTCCTGAGCTCAGTAAGCCCACCATGGACCTGGCCAGCCCCGAGGTGGCCCCTGCTGCCTCCACTGCCCTGCCCAGCTTCAGCACTTTTATGGATGGCTACACAGGAGAGTTTGACACCTTCCTCTACCAGCTGCCAGTAACAGCTCAGCCGTGCTCCTCGGCTTCCTCCTCAGCCTCCTCCACATCCTCGTCCTCCGCCACCTCCCCTGCATCTGCTTCCTTCAAGTTCGAAGACTTCCAGGTGTATGGCTGCTACCCCGGCCCCCTGAGCGGCCCACTGGATGAGACCCTATCCTCCAGCGGCTCTGACTACTATGGCAGCCCTTGCTCAGTCCCGTCGCCATCCACCCCCAGCTTCCAGCCATCCCAGCTTTCCCCCTGGGATGGCTCCTTTGGCCACTTCTCACCTGGCCAGACTTACGAAGGCCTGCGGGCATGGACAGAGCAGTTGCCCAAGGCTTCTGGGCCCCCACAGCCACCAGCCTTCTTTTCCTTCAGTCCCCCCTCTGGGCCCAGCCCCAGCCTGGCCCAGAGCTCCCTGAAGCTGTTCCCTTCGCCGACCACCCACCAGCTGGGAGAAGGGGAAACCTATTCCATACCAGCAGCTTTCCCAGGCTTGGCACCCACTTCCCCACACCTTGACAGCTCAGGGATGCTGGATGCACCCATGACCTCAACCAAGGCCCGGAGCGGGGCTCCCAGTGGAAGTGAGGGCCGCTGTGCTGTGTGTGGGGACAATGCTTCATGCCAGCATTATGGTGTTCGCACCTGTGAAGGCTGCAAGGGCTTCTTCAAGGTACTATGCCACACTGGGTGGGGCTTTTGATGGAAGTGGGGAGAGGATGGTCTCTAATCCCATTGGGGTCTGTAGTAGCCTCTCTTGGGTTCTCTTCCCAGCTAGTTCTGTCCTGCAGGAAAGGGGCAGGCTTGCCAGGTGGGCCACCTTCCTAGGAACCCATAGATGCAGGGGCAGGAAACTTTCATTTGCTGGGGTACACAGAGACCTATGGGACTGCAGAGAGTTGGTGGCAGGGGTGAGATATGGGCAGAGGCTGTGGGCTGCAGGGGTGCCCAGGAGGGGAAGTTCTGATGGCCAGCTTCTGGTTCGCCTCTGCCTGGGCTCAAGGTCCTGGTGGGAAGGGGTGCCCAGGCACTCATGTTCCTGGCATGAGATGAAAGGTTCTGGGCAGAGGGTTTGGTTCTTGAGGGCTGGGGGTGGACTTGGGAACAGGCTGTGTGTTTGTCCCAGCACTGGGTGCCTGCTCAGCTTCCTGTCCCCACCCCCAACCCCTTGCCCTCTCCTGACTGCCCTAGGGAAGGGGCAGGTGGGCACAGGCACATTAAAAAGTAAAGGTGTCTGGACTGCTAGGAGCCCTGAGCCCGTAATCTTGTGTCCTGGGGTCTTCTTCCTGAGGGAGAAAACTCCCCCAGTGTCTCCAAGACTTTTCTCTTTTCCCCACCCCTCCATCTCTCCCTCCCCGCCACCCAAATGTTAGAAAAATAGCTGTGAACAGAGAGTGCTTTTGTCTGTGATGGCAGCAGGATCTGGACGGTCCCCTCCCCTGGGCTTCCCCCCTCCCCACCCCACACTCTGACAGCCTGTTCCGTGTTGCCCCCCCACCAGCGCACAGTGCAGAAAAATGCCAAGTACATCTGCCTGGCTAACAAGGACTGCCCTGTGGACAAGAGGCGTCGAAACCGCTGCCAGTTCTGCCGTTTCCAGAAGTGCCTGGCTGTGGGCATGGTGAAGGAAGGTGGGTGGCTGGGATGAGCCCAGTGGAGCCAAGTGGGCCTGAGCGGGGTGTGGCAGGACAGAGCCCCCCGGGCATCTTCCCTGAAGGGCCACAGGGGAGGACATGTCTGGACCTCATTTCCACCCCCACCTCTGGACCCCTGGGCCTGACAGTAGGAGGCGGCTTTCACCTTCCTGCACTGTGAGCGTGGTGGTATGGGGAGGTCCCTATAGGGTACCTTGGGTTTCTGGGGCTCTGGGTTTTTGGGACTTGTGGGGGGTGCTTCTCAGCAGTGGTGTGCACAGCTTGGGCTGAGAGTCCCTTCCTTCCTCACCTTGCCCATTTCTTTGCAGTTGTCCGGACAGACAGCCTGAAGGGGCGGCGGGGCCGGCTACCTTCAAAACCGAAGCAACCCCCAGATACCTCCCCTGCCAATCTCCTCACCTCCCTCGTACGGGCACACCTGGACTCAGGGCCCAGCACTGCCAAATTGGACTACTCCAAGGTGAGGGCCCTCCCCTCCGCCCCCTGCTCCTGCTCCAGGGAAGACCACTGTGGGTACATGCAACGCCTTTGTTCACTTTAGAAAGAGCACCTCCTCCAGTTTGACAAATGGAAAAAAGAGGAGCCTCCTCTGGGCTGACCAGATGGGAAAATGCACCCCCTTGGGCAGGTGGCCAGTTAAAAAAATGTGTTCCTTCCAGCAGCTGCAGCCCTGGGTTAATATGCGAGACTTGGCAAGCAAGAGCGTGGGCTGAATCTCAGGTCCACTCTCATTCCTGGATCTGGTGTCCAAGTGTCTGACACCCTACATGGTTGCTTGTGTGGGGCCCTGCCTGGGGCGCTGACCCCACCGGACTGCCCTCCAGTTCCAGGAGCTGGTACTGCCCTGCTTCGGGAAGGAAGATGCTGGGGATGTGCAGCAGTTCTACGACCTGCTGTCGGGTTCCCTGGAGGTTATCCGCAAGTGGGCCGAGAAGATCCCTGGCTTTGCTGAGCTGTCACCAGGTGACCAGGACCTGCTGCTGGAGTCTGCCTTCCTGGAGCTCTTCATCCTCCGCCTGGCCTATCGGTGAGTTGCTTGTTGTCTGCCCAGCCTTTTTCCTGCTGCCCCTGTCCTTGGCCATCCTGACCGCTGTCCATGCCCCCCACCTGCTAGGTCTAAGCCGGGCGAGGGAAAGCTCATCTTCTGCTCAGGCCTGGTGCTGCACCGGCTACAGTGTGCCCGTGGCTTCGGCGACTGGATTGACAGCATCCTGGCCTTCTCCAGGTCCCTGCACAGCTTGGTTGTTGACATCCCTGCCTTCGCCTGCCTCTCTGCTCTCGTCCTTATCACCGGTAAGGGGCCAGCACCGAGCTGGGCCCAAGGGGGTGGATGTCAGGGAGCTGATTGGCCCTCAGTAGGGCGCTGTCTCAGGGAGTTGGGTGGATTGGCATCTAGCACTTCCTGGACCCCTACACTGCCCCATGCTTCTACCTGCCTTAAAAATAGGGACAATGGGAGTTGGAGAGGGGCTCTGCTGCATCTGACTCCAAAGCCCAAACCAGCCTTTGAATGCTCCCAGACTGCCCAAGGTACAGACTGCAGGAGTCATGCACGCAGCCTGGAATTTTGGTTTGTTTTTAAAATCTTCCTGCAGGGGGTTGGCCGGTTAGCTCAGTTGGTTACAGCATGGTGTTGATAACACCAAGGTCAAAGGTTCGGATCCCTGTACTGGTCAGCTGCCAAAAAATAATAAAATAAAATATTCTTGCCAATTATGCTGCATACAGAAAAGTACACAAATGATTAATTTTTATAAACTGTACTTGTATAACCACCACCTTGGTCAAGAAACAGAACACCAGCACCCCAAAACCCCTCCTTGTGCCCCCTTCCTGTCACTGCCTACCCCAAAGGTAACCACTATTCTGACGTTTTTTTTTGGTGGCTGGCCAGTACGGGGATCCAAACCCATGACCTTGGTGTTATAACACCATGCCCTAACCAGCTGAGCTACCCGGCCAGCCCCTACTCTGCCTTTTAGTAGTGAAGATTAGCTATGCCTGTTTTGGACTTTATGTAAATGTAGTTATGCAGTGTGTTAAATGTTGAGGTTTTCAGGTCTCTTTTTTTATTTTTTAAAGCCCCAGAATCCATCCCCACCCCTTTTTCCACTTAAATTTCACAGAGGATCCAACTGTGTAGAACAAAATCAGAGGTACGCAGGCTGAAGAGGGAGTGGTGGGTTCTGAGGCCAGCTCTCCTGGAGGCAGCCCCTAAAACATTGCTGCTTAACTCCAGCGCTGCTCAGAACAGTCTGGAAAAAACAACTGGCCTGTCCAGAAAACCTGGGTTAGGGTTTCTTTTCTTTTTTATGACCTTGGGAAAGTCATTTAGCCTCTCTGGAATATGAGGACAGGGAGTGGTACTGCCTCCTTAGACTTGCCATGAGGCTGGGACATGGCTGGGCTCTTATGGGAACATGCTTTCGGGAAGTGCCAGACGAGTGTGGCAGCAGTTTGAGAGGCCTGGGGGAGGCCAGGTCTTGGGGAGGTCTGGTCCTCAGATGTGTGGCTAATCCTGCACCCTCCTTGCAGACCGGCATGGGCTACAGGAGCCCCGGCGGGTGGAGGAGCTCCAGAACCGCATTGCCAGTTGCCTGAAGGAGCACATGTCGGCTGTGGCGGGTGAGCCCCAGCCAGCCAGCTGCCTGTCACGTCTGCTGGGCAAACTGCCTGAGCTGCGGACCCTGTGCACGCAGGGCCTGCAGCGCATCTTCTACCTCAAGCTGGAGGACTTGGTGCCCCCTCCACCCATCATCGACAAGATCTTTATGGACACGCTGCCCTTCTGACCCCAGCCTGGGAACACATGTGCACACATGTATACACATGTGTATGCACTCTCTTATGCCACCCCACGTGCCTTTAGCCCATGGACCCCAGGAGCACCTCCCAGCCTGGACTTGAGCTGCAGGTCTGACCTACCTGCTCACCTGCTCTAGGAGGCTGGCAGGGGGCTGAAGCCCTGGGGGAGGGGGTGCATTCATGGGGGTGACCCCACTATTTGTCCTACCTTCCCCCCCAGCCCAGCCCTAGCCTTCATGTTTTTTGTAAGATAAACCATTTTTAACACACACTGCCGTGCTGTAAATAAGCCGAATGCCACTGTAAATACAGGAAGGAAGAGGTTGATGTGGGAGTGGGGGTTGGGAGGGAGGGATGGGGCCCCCACGGGCCAGGGCAAGCTTTTCCAGCCTCCTTTACTTGCGCTCTCTTCCCACCCTTCTTCCACATGTACATAACTGTCTCTCTAGGAAGAAGACAAATGACAGATTCTGACATTTATATTTGTGTATTTTCCTGGATTTATAGTATGTGACTTTTCTGATTAATATATTTAATATATTGAATAAAAAATAGACATGTAGCTGAAACTGGGACTCTATCTCTGACCCCACTCCCCACCACACACACATACTCATAATTACATAAGAGATGGGGTGGTTCTGGATAAATCTTGCATGTTAATAACTGAGCTAATAGGCCTTAGTCTGTAAAAGGTGGACAATAATGACACCTGCTTCCTAGGGTGGTTCTACAAAGTACTTCTACATGTACGAAGCCTCCACTAAACTTGCCCGGCCCACTGACGCAGGGATCAGAGCACTGTCCCTAGCAATAGATCTGGCTGCAGGTCTCAGGGTTGTCTCTTCCAGTTCCTAACCTGGGCAAACTGGTCTCTGGTTCCTGGTTTCTATATCTGTAAAACAGGAAAAGGAATAGACTCGACCTCCCAGGGCTGTTAGGATTAGAGGGGCTTACATGGGGCTGGGTGCAAGCAAGCCCAAAGTGGTGGTAGCTGTTGTTACTCAGTTCAAGGTTTTTTCCATCACCATTCTCAACATTCCTCCCCACCCCGCTGCCACCCCAGCAACAGGATCCAGGGAGCTGGTAGCCCTTGTCTTGGCAAGAAGATTGTTCTGAGGTCCCCACCTGTGCCCAAGAGCCCCCACGCAGGATCACCAGCCCCCAGGCTCGTCAGTTGTTTATAGTCGGCTAGCTTAGAATGCAGATTCCTGGGCTCCATGCCCAGAGACTCAGATTTGGTGAGGGGTAGGGCCCATGAATTTGAACTTTCAGCAAGCACCAGGTGTTTGTGATGCAGGTGGTTTTGGGGCCACCCTTTTGAGAACAAGAACCTAGGTGGACCCCAATCTGAGGCCGAGGTGGCTGGCTCTGCAGGTTCTGCGCCGTCCAGCCTAACCAGATTTTTCTCGGGTCTGGTGGGAGCCCAGAAGGCGGTGCCTTCACACCTGTTCTTGACAATCCTTGGTCTGGGGCACCTAAGTCTCCACCTTTGTGGCTCCTGGGAGCTGGCTGGATGAGGGGCAACTCCTGCTGGAAGCGGGTGGGACAAAATAGGGTTCTGCTCTGGAGTAGGGGAGAAGCCAGGGCCTCCCCAGTGCTCCAGCCACAGCCTGCTCCCCTAAGGAGCCCCCAACCACATGCCTCACTTGGGTTCTGGGAACACAGTCCAGCCTCAGGCCTTCCAAAGGGTCCCCCTGTGGCTGGGGTTGGGAGATCATGGCCCTGACACAGTGACAGCTGCCCCCAGCAGCACTGTGGACTTCCAAGCGTGTATCGCTGGCACCCCTACTGGAGCCCCTGAGTGGGCCTTTTGCCAGCAGCACCAAAACCTGCCAACATAGGGCAGTCAGGAGATGGTTTCCGTTCTCAGCCCTGCCTCCAACTCCATGCTGCTTGCTCTGTGGGAAGCTCCTCTTCCTCAAGGAGCCTCGGTTTCCCCGTCTGTTCAGTGGGGAGGTGAGTCTGGTGGCAGTGCTCTGGTTAGGAGCAGCGCTTGCTGGGAAATCTCCCGCCAGCTGTGGCTGACCTGAGTCCCTCTCACTCTAGGTCCCTGCCTTTAGCACAGACAGATGTGGGGACAGGGCAGACCCATGCGGGAAGGCAAAAAGACTACTTAGATGCTTGGGAATGGGGTGGGGGCAAGGGACAGTCTTGGTTCTTCAAGATCTGTAAGCCCCATGGCAATGATAACAGCTACCACGTATTATGGTCCACCGCAGGCTAGAGCCTTTTCACAGGATGTCTGTTATCCCCGGCCCTCGTTACCACCCAGGGAGGAAGGCACGGTGACCCCACCTCACAGGTGGGCACCTATGACTCTGGAGCCTCATTGCCTGGGCTGAAATCTTGGGTCCAGCTCTTACTAGCTGTGGAATTTGGGGCAAGTTACTTAACCTTTCTGGGCCTCAGTGTCTTCATCTATAAATGAAAATAATTGTACCTATTTTATAAAGATGCTATAAGGATTACATGAGTGAATATACCTAAAGTGTTTCGAAAAGTGTTTGCACATAGCAAGCGCCCAATAAATATTAGTTATTGTTTACACAAAAGAGGAGAATTCATTTCAGAGAAAGGAAAAGACTTTCCCAAGGTCACTTGGTTTATAAGTAGCTACGCTGGGTGTGTCCGGCTACTTAACCACCAAGTCTCCCTGCCCAGGGCCTCGAGAATAAGAGCAGCTCCATTGATGGTGGTGCCTTTCCAGGACTCTGGCAATTGGGGTATAGGGTGGGGGGCTAATTCCTCCAGCCCCGCCCCGCCCCACCCTGCCCCGCCCAAGGGCTGGAGCCTGGAGGCAGGCCCTTTCTTTCCACTAAGCAACTGGAAGAACTGGCCTCCGAGTCTTGCTAGGGGCCAGGAGGGCAAACAAGGGGGCATTGAGCCTGGTGGGGGCCTCACAATGGACGCTCTGTCCTGGCTGGCCGGGGGCTGGGCCTGTTTCCGATGAGGACAATAGTCAAAAGGCAGTGACGCCGGCAGGGCCTGGAATCCCGGGCAGGATTTTCCAAGGCCTCAAAGCCTGCTGTTTGTCCTCACGCGGAGACCCAGGAAGCCTGCCTCCCTGTCTCCCCCACCCCACCCACGCTGGGCCCTGTGCCCAGAGGCCCTTGCCCCCTCCCCAGACCTGAGGTGCCACTGTGACTCAGTAGGGGTGGCTCTGAGGTCTAGGGATTGAGGGGGAGAGTGGTCTGTGCCTGATGGCCCTTTGCTGGGGCCTGGGGTGGAGAAGCTGTTTCACTCCTGAGCTCTGGCCATTAGGCCTTGCTTATGGAGGGAGGTGGCAAGGGTCAGCCTCAGGAGGTGAGAAGCCTCTGAAGGTCATGGGCAGCCAGGCTATAGCTGCGCAGTACTGTCTGCATGGTCTACCCTGAGCATCCAGCATGCTTGGCCATGTGGCAGCTGGCTCAGTGGCCACAGAGGGCAGCCGGAGAGAGAGTCTGTGAGAGGTAGGAGGCCGCTGTGTGGTAACCAGGTAGTCAGCAGCGATGTCCTTCACAGCCATGAGGCAGTTGTGTTAGGCAAGTCAGAGTCCTGGCCGAGGGCAGTGTCGGGTCCCCCTCATGTGAGAACTGGGTCTGGGATTCCCAGAGTTTTACCTTAGAAATCTGAATGAGCCCCCAGCCCCTCTCCTGCAAGTACCTGACTGCAGCAGAGACCCCAGGGCCGCTGGGCCTCCTCAGAGGATGACACTGAAGGGACAAGCCTCTGACTACCGGCTTCCGACCCAGGCTGGGCCTGGCCTTGCAGCCCCACTGCTTGGCGGGCAGCTGCCCTGTCCTCTCCAGGGCAGATGGTACTCAGCCCCAGGCTGTGGTCTCTCCCCAACCTCTGCCTCCACCCTGCTTCAGTTGCAGGCTCTCAGGCTTCTGCCCTGGCTCTTCTTGGCCCCAGGGTGGGGGGCTGTTTTGTTGAAGCCTAGGCTGGCTGGTGGGACTTTGAACCTCCGGTATTCTAGGATGGGTACAGGAGAGAGTCAGTGCAAGGCTGAGGAAAAGCCCTCTTCACTGCCCCATGTTCCCTTTTCCTACACAAGCCAGAGACCTTCTGAGGGCAAGGGGCATGTTCCAGGGTCCCCACTGGACTCAGAGCCGGCCTGGGGGCCATGGGCCCTGGAGGCTGGGGCCTTGGCTTCTGCCTCCCGCCTGCCACCTGGGTCTGGCTCTGCTTGTCCTCCATACCACTCTGGCTCTACTCGCCTCCTGCTGGGCCCTGACCCTGCCACGCGGGGGTGGGGGGGTAGGGGGGGCACTTGAGGTCTCCTCAAGGTCTGACCCAGGCACTGGCACTGTCCAGCCCCAACTCAGGTCCATAAATCAGGCCTGGCACTCACAGCTGCGGGGGCTGGGGGTGGCAGCTGGGTGGGGGAGGGGAGTGTCCTGGTACATGCTGCGTTAGCAGGGAGCTGTGCCGAGTTGCAAACCAGGCGGGCGGGTGCTGACTCTCGCTGCCCTCCTAGTCCAGGCACATCAGAAGGAAGGGGCACCCACTCGGGGAGCCTAGCCTTGGGGTGGCCCAGCAGGAAACCTGGACCCCATCCCAGGGTCCCAGGTAGCTGGGGTACCATGAGGATAGATACAGTGATGCCCCCTGCTTGGTAAGAAACCAGGAACAGAAAAACAGCCCAACAGAAGCAGACAGAGACTCCCTTACCAAGGGTGGGTGGATAAACAGCCCTCCCATTTTGCAAGGACAGTCACACAGAATCCTCTCCTCCAAACAATGACAGATATACACATGCCTCCTAAAGGAATAGATACGCAGACCTTGCAGGAAGGAGAGGCAATCCTTCACCTCCAGGGACACATGCACAGAAATAAAGCCCCATCCCCACCCCAACTTGGCCAGACAAACACAGAACCTTTCCTGGACAAAAAGACACACAACCCTTCCCCAACATGGAAGGACAGATCCCAAGATTGTCAGGAGAACAGACAGCAGACGTGCCATGCCCAGCCTGGTCCAGGTCTCCAGGTTGCTTGAAGAGGTTGGCAGGTTGGGGCTGGGAGGCACCTCTTTCTCACGCTCTCTGCCACTGTCCCGTCCGCCCAGCCATTTCCTCTACTACAGAGGGCGGGGGCTGGGAGTGATATCCCAGAAATGGTGGGAGGTGGAGGAGAGGACAGCTGGCTCCCTTGCCCCGCGGCCTGGCCAGGCTGGAGGGTCAGCAGGCAGAGTGCTGGCTATCCAGCCAGGCTGGCCGCCTCCAGGAGCCCCCAGCCTGACGTCAGCCGTGCTCATTGTTGTTGCTGGGGCTTGAGTCACTCCCTGTGACGCCACTGGGGTCAGCTCTGGAGCGGCTGGGGAGGCTGCAGGGCCAGCTTCAGGGCTCTGCTCTCCCCTGGGTACACAGCAGGATGAGGTGGGGCCATCCGAGGCCACACTCCTCAGCAAAGCCAGCTGCCTACTCCCAAGGTCTTGGGTTGGCCTTCAAGGTCCCTCCACAGGCCTCTGCTGCAGGCACGGCTCACAGCCTCAGTCGGCTGCCCGTCTGTCTGGCTGGCTGTAGCTTGGGGCTCTGGCTGAGAAGTCTGCTCTCTCTGTCCTCGCTTCTCTCACCTGAGAACCCTCAGTTTCCACCCTAGGTCCTCATTGAGACCTCTTCCCCCAGCTTTTTTCTTTCCCCTTTCCAGGAAGCTTCCCAGAATAATTCCTCATAAACCTACTTTTTCCTGGAATCACAACCTCCTTTCCTGCCCATCTCCTCAGGTTGCTGTCCTGTGCTCTCTGCTGCCATCTCAGTTTTCCTCTGGTGCCCAGTTACTTCCCAACCTGCTGAAAGCAGGGGTTGGGACTCCTCTTCACTCTGAACATGTCACTTTCTGTTCCAGGCTGCCAGCATCTCTGTGGGATGACAGCAGTAGCCTCCATCTGTGACTTCACTGGCCCCCAGAACCTGCTACCATTTCTTTCATACCACTTGCTTGGTTTTCTTGCCCAGGGGTACCTCCTGGTCCATCTCCTCTAGAAGACTCCAAGCTCCCAGAAGGCTAGAATTGTGACTTGTCCCCTTTGGTGTTATAGGGTATTAAATGGGCCTGGCACGTGGACAGTTACGTATGTGTGGCATGAATGAATGAATGAATGAATGAATGAACAACTACATCTTGATCATCAGGGCTGGGGGCACAGGATGGAAAATTCATCCCATACAGTCTCAGTTTTTTGGCCACAGACCCACCACCCTCCCTGACAGGACTACTGAGATGGCAGGGGGTGCCCAGGTCTGAGTTGCAATGAGAACTGCCCTGTGAGAATTCAGGGAGGTATGAGGAGGCAAGGACTGGCCAGCATGTGAGGTAAGAGAGGTGAGAGGACTCAGTCTCACCCTCAGTCAGGACAGGCTCCATGGAGAGGATGAGTTTGGAGTAGGGAAAGAGTGGATAAAAAGACTAGAGGAAAGAGGAGTTGTGTGGCCTTGGCCTTAGCCAGAGTTCTCCAGAAAAACAGAACCAATAGCATGAGTGTGCGCATATGCGCACACATGGTGCGGCGGGGCAGATAGATTATAAGGAATTGGCTCACAGGATTATGTAGGCTGACAAGTCCTGAGATCTGAAGCCAGCAAGCTGGAGACCCGGAAAAGCCGATGGTGTAGCTCCAGTCTGAATACCAGCAGGCTCGAGACCCAGGAAGAGCAGATATTTCAGTTGGAGTCTGCAGGCAGGAAATAACTGATGTCTCAGCTCTCAGGCTGTCAGTCAGGAGGAATTCCCCTTACTCAAGGGAGGGTCGGCCTTTTTGTTCTATCAGGCCTTCAGCTGACTGGATGGAGCCCCCCACACCCCCACTGGGGAGGGCAATCTGTTTCACTCAGTCTGCCAATTAAAATGTTAATCTCATCAGAAACATCATCACAGATACACCCAGAATAATGTTTGACCAGATGTCTGGGCATCCTGTGTCCTAGTCAAGTTGATACATAACATTAACCATTACAGCAAACCACTACATATCACTGAGCCTCAGTTTCATTATCTGTAAATTGGGTGGGTGACTGTGGTGTGGGGGTGGGGGTGGGAATTGTATCTACCTTGAAAGGTAGCTTGAAAAGTCAGTACAATAATGCCCGTTGCTGGCATGGTGCCTAGTGAGGCTCAATGATTGGAAATAGTAATGATGATGATGGTGTCAAGATGGTGGCAGCAAGGGCCCTGAGATGGAGTGTGGTAGGGGCTAGAGAGAGGTCAGTCATTCCCCTTATTCACTGGCAGGCTCTAGGAGTTAGGCTGATTCCAACTTCCCTGGGGTCCCCTCCTTCAGCTCCTCACAGACCCTGCCCTCTCAATATTTTCTCCTTTTTTTTTTGATCACCTCCTGATCTTGTACAGGCTCCAGAAGAGGTTGCTGGTCTATAGCGCAGACAGCTTTCTCTTTCTCCGAGCCCTGGAGGTACTCCCAGGATGCTCAGGGAGAGGCACCCACACCTGGGACAGAGGCAAGGGCTCAACAAGGGTGGAAATGGGGAGGAAGGAAAAGGGATAGGGAACAAACGAGGGGGAGAAGGCCAGCCAGAGGAGGGGTTGTGCAGCTGTGTTTTGAAGAACTGGGTGGGAAGCCTAAAGGGTGGGGTAGGTGACAGTGATGTGCTGGAGCCAGCTGGTACTGGCACTCAAGAACTAATGATCAAGATGTAATCATTCATTCATTTCAGACTCTACATTCAGTAATGTCCTGTAGCTTGAAATTGGCTATGGTAGAAAATTGGCAAATTCTATAAATCAAGACATTTCCCTACCGGAGAGCAAGTGTTAAACATTTACCAGCCCACAGCTGGTGGGGGTGTATTAGAGATGGTAGTGCATGGGGATGGTCCAGCTGGAGAAGCCAGAAAGAGAGCTTCTGTAATAGCGAAGAGCCCTGGATTTGAACCCCAGGCTCTGCCACTTACTGAGTGACCGTGGGCAAGTTACTTAACCTCTCCCAGGGTCAATTTCTTATCTACCTCGTAGGATTGATTGGTATCAGATTTAAATTTACACACACACACACACACACACACACACACACACATACACACACACACACACACACACACACGGTCTTCAAAAAGATAAAAAGATAATGGAAGGATTCATATTATCTTTTAATTCATTTTTTCCACAAACTTTTTGAAGTACCCTCATATATACATATATATGTGCATACGGAAGTTAGAATCATGCCCTTTCCATTCCACTCAATAGATGTTATCCATTATTGTTTTAGGAGATAAAGTGTGTGTTAGGAAAATGAGCATCTTAAGCTACTTAATCTAAGTAAACAACTCGGGAGTGCCTCCTGTTGGAGGTGGGGCGTGCTAGGCTCTGCGGGCATTAACAGAGCTACTGACAAACCTCTGTTTGCCCTGGGTTTACAATCTACATAGGATGGAACCAAACACGCTCCCAGCAAGTTACACAACACTAAAAATGCACTCACATCCATATAACACTTTACAGGTCACAAAAGTTTTTCATATGAGTTATCTCCTGAGATCCTCATAACAGCTCCCTGCTTATGGAGGAGGAAATCAGAAAGGATGAGTGATTTCAAGCAATGGCAGAATTACAGAACTTACAAGAACTGTCACCAGGTCGGTCACGGTAGAGAACCAAGAAGTGCTGCTTGCAGGAAGATAACACTCAGAAAGATTAAGCCCCTTTCTCCAGCGTCTTTGTGTGGGTTGAGAGTCAGGGATCCCGTCTATTATGTACATTGGACAAGCTCAAGTTTTGCCATCCACTCGGTGTCCTCTGGGACCCATCTCCAAATGGTATGCTCCTCATCTTTCGGGATCGGTGCTGCTTCCAGGCCTCTCAGCCCGGAGTCTGGGACCACGTCTCCGTCCCGGGGGCGGGCTCGCCGCCGATGACTCCTCTCAGCCTAAGGAGGCAGCGCAGAGCCCATCCGGCCGCTCCTTCCCTCCCGTCTCTATGGCGGAAGTGAGTTGTCCCAGCCGAAACACAACAACATTCTCGGTGGTGGGAGTGAATGGACTCGTCCAAATGAGGGGGACACAGCTCACAATCAAATTTTAAGATCCGAGAGATACTCAAGGAAGTAGTAATATCCTAATTATAGATCAATATAAGATATATCTGTGCGCTCGTGTGAAAGTGCAGATGATCTGGGCAGCTGCACTCATGCCCTAGCTAAGCCGAGCTGGGCGCGCCCCTCCTGCAGAGGCCGTAGGGAAAGGTAGGCCCCTCCCGGCACGCCAGGCCGGCGGTATGCTCTTCCGGCCCGGTCCCGGCGCCGCCCTCTGCCGCGGTGGTCTTGTGCGCGCCGTGAGGGCAGCCCCGCGGTCGGCGGGTCCCGGACGGGGATTCGGGGAGGTGGGGGGCCGCTCTAAACGTCGGTCCCCTTCTCTTGTGCAAGCGCGGGCGCTCCCCGGGCCGGCGGGAGTGAGGGCGCGCCTCGAACTCCGGAGGCCGGCTGGGCTCGGCGCGGGGCGCCGCCCGAGACATCCGAAGAGTGAGCTCCTCCCTCGTTCCCTGGACTGTGGAGGTTCGCGGGTAGTGGCGGTGGGAGAAACGGGACCCGGGCGGGAAGTCCTTGCTGCGTCCAGCCCGGGTGTCTCGATGCGGAGCCGAATAGCTCTCTGCTTTTGCTTTTAGTCCGTCTATTGCGGCTCAGCGCCCGCGCGGAGGTTGGAGCGAAGCTGCGGAGGTCGTATCTGGACGTGAGAAGGAGGTGGAGATCCGAGCTTCAGTAACCCGCGCTCTAGCCTGTACTCGTAAGGTGGGAATGGGGGTGCCCTGGGCTCTAGCCTGACACTGAGAGTCTGTCAGCCTCTGTCCCTTGAGACTTGAGGGACGAGACCTCCCTGGCCTTGCTCTGGAACTCCCTGCTCTGGGGAACTCCCCGTAGGAATGTGGGGGGACAACAAGCTTATCACAGATTAAATATGGCGCTATGGCAAGGAGGCTGGAGTTGGGCAGCTCTAGGTTGACTTCCTGTAGCAGTGGATACTAGAAGAGCACCAAAAATGAGGGAAGAGCCGGGCCCTGGGCCAAAAGTGAGGATATTGTACGGCCTGTATGAGAGGTTGTGGGGGACAAAGGAGAGGGAAGTGTGGAAGAAAGGGGGCTAGACCAGAGGTGAGAGTCTGTCGATGGGAAACTGCTGGATGGAGTTAAACTAGACGGCAGAAATGAGCGCGAGAGTCCTCATCCTTTATCCAAGAGTGTAGGAGAAACTAATACAGCAACCCCTGGAAGGACCTGGAATTACTGAGTCAGAGTGAATTCAGCAGTTAACTTGTACTAAGTATTAGGAACTGAATTTATAGTGATGAATAGTGATATAGTTCTTGCCTTCAAAGAACTGTCTGCCTAGTGGGAGAGACAAGAATAAAACCTGATAGTACCTGATAGTACAGGTAGACCCAAGCCGTTTGCCAGCTGAGAGGCAGAGTCAGCTCGCTCTCTGAGCACTCCACAGGCTGCTGCCTTGTGTCCAAATGCTGAGCAGCACTGTTTAAGACGGGCAGAGACAAACTGAAGTAACACTTACTGGAGAGCTGCTAGGACCCTGGGGAAGTAAGATGTGATGTCCAACAGGCATGTTTATGGGGATCGGGGACCTATAACCTATAGAGGGGGTAATGGGGTGATTGAAGAGCTGCCTCTAAGTATCTGAAAAGCTCACTGTGGAAAAGAAGTGAGACTTTCTGTGTGGCTTTGGCTATCAAAACTAAAACCAGTGATTTGGAACACTAAGAGATAGATTCTGTCAGTAGAAAGAATAACTAAATAGAACTTTTTAAAGATGGAATGATCTGTTGTGAGAGATAGTGAGTTCCCTGTCAGGGGAGTTTGCAAGCTGAACACTCTCAGCTAAGAAATGTGACTGTTCCCTTTCCCTCTGAGCTCATATTTGGTTACTTACTAAGGCTGGGTTCTCAAGTCTGTTCTCTCCTTCCCACTCCCACCACTGCTTTGGGAGGAACACTTGCCTCATCTCCTGGCAATAACAATATAGTAATGAGTTATAGCAGCTAATACTTAGTGAATGTTTACTACTTGCCAGGTTCTGTTTTAAGTGTTTTATAGATGCTAACTCATTCAGTCCTCCAGACATCCTTTTCAAGGTAGCTATTACTATCTCCTTTATATGTATATGGGGAAACTGAGGCACATAGGTGCTAAGCACGTTGCCCAAGATCACACAGGGAGCAAGTGGCAGAGCTGGGATTCCAGTCCAGACTGTCTGGCTTTCAAGTCATTGTTTTTTTTTTTTTGTTTGTTTTGTTTTTTCCAGTCAACTTTTGTGAATTTGTTATTATTATTATTATTATTATTATTTTAAAAAGATGACCGGTAAGGGGATCTTAACCCTTGACTTGGTGTTGTCAGCACCACACTCACCCATTGAGCTAACTGGCCATCCCTATATGGGATCCGAACCCATGGCCTTAGTGTTATCAGCACTGCACTCTCCTGAGTGAGCCACAGGCCAGCCCCTGGCCATCCCTATATTCCAGTCAACTTTTGTGAATTTGTTATTATTATTATTATTATTATTATTTTAAAAAGATGACCGGTAAGGGGATCTTAACCCTTGACTTGGTGTTGTCAGCACCACACTCACCCATTGAGCTAACTGGCCATCCCTATATGGGATCCGAACCCATGGCCTTAGTGTTATCAGCACTGCACTCTCCTGAGTGAGCCACAGGCCAGCCCCCGTGAATTTGTTTTTATTGGGGTGTAGGATATAGGTTGGGAAATGTCACCATGGAGTATGCCCTCCCTCCAGGCAATGTCCATTCTAAGCTTCCTGGGATGCTTTTTGGAGCTTTTTCTTTTTCTTGGAGCTGCTCTTGCTGCCAGCAGCCTCTTCAAGGTCATTGTTCTTAACCACTATTGTACTGTGTTTTACATGTGTTACCTTAATTAATCCTCGATACAATCCCAATTTACAGATAAGAAAAACTGAGGTTCAGAGAAGTTGAGTGATTTGCTTGGGGTCATAGAGCAAGATGGAGGAGAGCTGGGATTCAAACCCAGGAGTGTTAGACATGAAAACCCCGTACTCTTCCCTTTACTCCCCCACACCTGATTGCTCTACTTGGTAACTGCCACTACTGTAGTGGCCTCTAACTGGCCTTCCTGCCCAGCCTTTTTGCCTTAAATCTGCAAGTTTTTTCCCTGGAGTCTGGATGGCCCTGGAAACACATGAGATTTGACGTGTATGTGCGTGTGTCAGTCAGGTTTTAAAGCCCAGCCTTCATAGTTTTCATTGACTTCTCAAAGCAGTTGTGACCCCCAAATAGTTAAGAGACATTCATTGCCCTTCAGCCAGTGTTAACTATCTGATGCACAGACTTGATCTTGGCACAGTGATGCAGTGACTCTTCACTGCCCTCAGGACAGAGTCCAGATGCCTTAATCTGGTCATCCAAGGTTCCAAGAAATCAGACTGCATTCTTTTTTTACTTCTCACTCCCACATTGTACTCTCACCATTGTGGTAATGTTTCCTGCCTGTCTCCCTTTCATCCCTCAGCTTCCTAAGTGCAGGGCTATGCTAGTCTTTGAAAGGCCAGTGCCTGACAGGTGCTGTCCAGTGAGCATTTGCTGTATACTGCACTGAGTGCCATGAATGGAATCCGAGCCTTGGCTGGTTGTTTGCACTGGTATCTTTGAAGTTCTCCCCCTTTCTGGTCTGAGTTTATGATTCTTTGATGCTATGTGCTGCCAAAACGCAGAGAAGGGCCAGTGGAAGCAGGGACTGAGCTGAACCTAGAAGGAAGTGAACAGGTATCATGCAGATCATTCAGGAGGTGTGAGCATTCTGTCCTGGGCTCCTCTTACAGGGTGGTGTGAAGCTCCACGTTTTTATATTTACTCCCCACCCTGGTGTGGGCCACTGGCTACAGGATGAACTGTCGCTCGGAGGTGCTGGAAGTGTCGGTGGAGGGGCGACAGGTGGAGGAGGCCATGCTGGCCGTGCTGCACACGGTGCTCCTGCACCGCAGCACAGGCAAATTCCACTACAAGAAGGAGGGCACCTACTCCATCGGCACCGTGGGCACCCAGGATGTTGACTGTGACTTCATCGATTTCACCTACGTGCGCGTCTCCTCTGAGGAGCTGGACCGTGCCTTGCGCAAGGTTGTCGGGGAATTCAAGGTAGGGGTGTGGCACAGCGGATGGCAGGTGGACCTTGGATATCCCTCCACCCCAGCTTGCTCTTGGACCAGCTTACCCTCCCTGCGTGTGTGAATTGGGTTTTTTCAGGTTCTAAGGAACAAGCTGTGTGTCTGTGTGGCAGTGGGGGCTGGGGAAGGCAGGGAGCTCTCACAGCAGTGGTGGACAGGTCTCCTTGAGAGATCATTGCTCTTGTGGTCTTGACCTTTCCTCTGGCTCCACAGCTCTCCTTCTCTCTGCTTCTGCTTTCACTTTCCCTTTTATCAGTTTGCTTTCCCATACGAAACGCCCTCAGAGGGAGGATTGTGGGCTCGGGCGGCTGCCATCCAAGGTGGAGTGTCCCTTTGGACAGGGTGGCGTGCGTTTGTGTATTCCTGTGCGGGCATGGAGAAAGGGATGGAAGGAATACACCAGACTGCTCATGTTGGTCACCTCAGGAGGTTGGAAGGGTGGTATAGTTTTTTTTTTTTTTTTTTTTTTTTTTTTAAAAGATGACCGGTAAGGGGATCTCAACCCTTGGCTTGGTGTTGTCAGCACCACGCTCACCCAGTGAGCAAACCGGCCATCCCTATATGGGATCCGAACCCGTGGCCTTGGTGTTATCAGCACCGCACTCTACCGAGTGAGCCACGGGCCGGCCCCGGGTGGTATAGTTTTTAATTTGGTCTTCATTCAGAATCATAGTGTTTCACTATTAAATGCGTGGGTATTTTTAAAGTTTAAAGTAACAAAGGGAATTTATTTCTTTTAAGGCGTCAGCTCTGGGGTCAGAACAGGAGGGCCGTGTGTCTGACTTCTGTTCCACAAATGTTTGCAGAGCTCCTCCACTGTACTGGGCATTATGTGCTCATTGCAGAGGGATGCGTAGTGTCAGGTAGGACCCTCTCCCAGGCCAGAGCATTCAGAAAGCCACTCCCCACCATCCCTCCAAGCCCAGAAGGGGCAAGTTCATAAGAGGTTTCCCAGTCACCCTTCAAGAGAGGCAGTGGTAGGCAGCCCTCTGTCTTCTAGATATCCATGAAAGGCATGTAGAGCAGAATGCTTCCATGGACTCTGGATCCAGGCTCTGCCACCCAACAAGCATGTGATGTTGGGCAAGTGACTCTACTGTGCTGGGCTTCAGTTTCCCTGTATGTGAAATTGGAGTGATAATCATAACTACCTCATAGGGTGTATGTACTGCAAGGATTAAAAGTCAGATGTGTCTAGTGTTTGGAACAGGGCCTGGCACAGTAAACGTCACAGAATTGTTAGCAATTATCGCTGTCATTCAAGGTCACATGACCGTGGTTTGTCCATGATACTATTCCCCGATGGTTCCAGGTTTGAGGGAGGCACCCTTACCCTCTGGATTGCCACTAACTCAGATGGAAAGGTGCTTCAGGATCCTTGCTGTCCTAGCAGGAGGAGTATGGGGCCACCCACACCCATGGGGTGGGATAGGCCGAATTATTGGACTAGATGGCCCCATTTGTTTCTCAGAGAAGAGGGAGAAGCAGCCAGGACTGATCTGTCCTTCAACTTCCTTTGCCCCATTCTGTACCTTGGTTTCCTTCTTTATTAATAAGGATCACTAGGCTTTACAGTCACCTCTTCCTTTTTAAAAAGAGACTATGAATTTGGGATGTCATAAAATGAAGTAGAGGAGCTGTGTTTAATTGGCAGTGGAGGAGGCAAATAGGGGTTTACCTGGAAGAAGGAGATGTTGGTGAGAAAGGATCTTGGAGAACATTTTGGAGGATGCGGCCAAAGGTGTGGGGTTGTGGAAGGAGAAGGCCCTTAACACAAAGGTGAAAAGTAAGGATGTTGAAATCAGGCAGTCTGGATTCAAACCCTGGTGCAGCCGTTCACAGGCATGTGACTTTGGCAGATTACCTTTCCTCTCAGCCTCATTTTGCCTCAGAGAAATGGAGGTAATGTACCTACCTCATGGGGTTGTAGAGAGGAGCCATTGGGATTGTGTGTGTAAAGTTCCTGGCACAGAGTAAGTGCCCACCGGCCAGGAGTTATTCCTTGTAACATCCATTCTTATCAAAGTTGAAGGACTTGACCTTGGAGACAGATTCTGTTGGTTTTCCCTAACTGCTTAGTTTCAGGCTGGCAGTTGGTGACTTCGCACAAATTCTTTACCCTTTCTGGTTCTCTCCCTGCCATCCCTGAAGGACTAATTAGAGCTAGGAGAACATAATACCCTGGTGCATAGGAAACGAGTCCTCAGGGGTGGGAACTCTTCAGAGGCCTTGGCTTGCTCACCTGTTACCCCTTCCTCCCCAGGATGCATTGCGTAACTCTGGTGGCGATGGGCTGGGGCAGATGTCCTTGGAGTTCTACCAGAAGAAAAAGTCTCGCTGGCCTTTCTCAGATGAGTGCATCCCATGGGAAGTGTGGACGGTTAAGGTGCATGTGGTAGCCCTGGCCACGGAGCAGGAGCGGCAGATCTGCCGGGAGAAGGTGGGTGAGAAACTCTGTGAGAAGATCATCAACATCGTGGAGGTGATGAACCGACATGAGTATCTGCCCAAGATGCCCACACAGTCAGAGGTGGACAATGTGTTTGACACAGGCTTGCGGGACGTGCAGCCTTACCTCTACAAGATCTCATTCCAGATCACTGATGCCCTGGGTACCTCTGTCACCACCACCATGCGCAGGCTTATCAAAGACACTCTTGCCCTCTAGGCCTTGCTGGAAACTTGGGAGCTCCTTGATGGCTCCCAGACCTTGGCTTCTGGGGATTGTACTATTATACAGTTGGGGATCTGGGACCTGCCCTGGGTCCTTGGCAAGTCTTTAGAAGGGGCAGCCCCTGGCTTCCTTGTTTTGTGGTTGCCAATCTCTGATCATCCCCTTAACCCTTGCTGACAGTCAAGTCCTGCATATACTGTCTCCACACCCCTGCTGGGGTCCTTCTTCTCCATTGTACAGAAGAGCCACCACTGGGATGGTGAATAAAGTTGAGAATGTGAGTTTGGGCTGAGCTGTCTCTCCCTTGGCTGTGTTCTGCCCTGAAATGTTAACACTTTCTGGCATGCCTGTGAGGACACAGGTGTGTGTTGAGAGCATTATTCCAAAATGGGAGAGTGGGTGGGTGGGATTAAAGATAGATTAAAACTGACAGGTTTTGCACTGTTGGATATTCACACAGCAGATGTTAACCATCCAGGTGTGACCATGGCCAGCCCCATGAATGAGGGCATGGGGTAAGGGTCTGTTTTTTGATTTGATTGAGCTATTTCTCCTCCCTTCCCAAGGAAGCTGTGGCATCCCTAGCCTTTATGTTATCTGGTCTTGCTTCATAGTGGCCCCAAAGGATATCTTCTCTGTCTTCATGTAGCGCACACAGGTCCCCATGTGTACCAGAAAGGTCACTTGATATGGAGTGTCTCTGCAGAGAGATTGGCCAGCTTGAGACTGTGATATCTGGTGACACTTTTTCCAGGTTGGGCTTGTCCTTGCTGGTTGTTAGGACATTGCTTTGGTAACTCATACTCACTTCCATACATGCATACTCAAATCTTCACTGTGCTATGTTTTTATTGATTTGTTCCATATTTTATAGTGCTTTTTGGCTACCTCTGGGGCAGTTCTTTTTTTTTTTTTTTTTTTTTTTTTTTTTTTTTGTCTTTTTTCCGTGTCCGGCAACAGATCGCAACCCTCAGTGTTGCCCCCGTACCGGACCGGGGACCGGCGACGGGATCGCAAGCCTCGGCGTTGCTCCCGCGCCTCGCTCAGACTGTGCTATGTTTTTATTGATTTGTTCCATATTTTATAGTGCTTTTTGGCTTCCTCTGGGGCAGTTCTTTTTTTTTTTTTTTGTCTTTTTTCCGTGTCCGGCAACAGATCGCAACCCTCAGTGTTGCCCCCGTACCGGACCGGGGACCGGCGACGGGATCGCAAGCCTCGGCGTTGCTCCCGCGCCTCGCTCAGCCAGTGAGCGGGAGCCGGTCTGTACGTGGGATCCGAACCCTCGGACGGGAGCGCTGCCGCGCTTCCCAAGCGGGCGCACTATCCAGTGCGCCACCGGGCCGGCCACTCTGGGGCAGTTCTAACCAGATTAAATGAATTGTATGTCGGGAGGGGTATCAAGGGAGAAATGGGGGTGGGGGTGGGAGGTTGCCCATGGTCCTGGCGCAAGGTGAGTAGCCAAGATGGCCAGGAAGTGTTTGTACTTTTTCCCCCATTCCAAGCCCCCTTGGCCAAACGATATTTCATGACTGAGGTTTTATTATGTTCTCCTCTTGATCTCTGAGAGTTGGAGGACTCAGAAGGGTTTGTAGATGGGCAAGGCCCATTCTCAGCAAGTCCTTGATAACATGTGACCCCACCTGGCCTGCTGCAGTCTGAGGAGACTTCCTCTTTTCCTCCCAGCCAGCCATCAGCTAATCTGATCCCTTCAGAGGGGTTGACTGGTACAGGTTTTGGCTAGCAGTGATTTTATTTTTAAATAGAGGACTCAAGGCTTGCCACAGGATTTTTCAGGAGACTTGGCAGGAGGGTTTGGCTTCCATCTTAGCCTTCCCAGACTTTCTACTTATCTGTAGCCAGACTGCTCCATTCTCCCACCCTGGCTTGGCTGTGGGACACCCAGCTGGCAGTGGGCTGCCCTTGGTGAAGAGGATAGTAACATCTCCATCCCTTTTAGCATTGTGATTTCCCTGAGGAAAGGGACTGATTTAATCATGGTTAGGACAGGAGCCTGGTGGCTCAAATCTATGCTCTCCCATTGGTCTGTAGATATGATTCTCCTTGGCCTATGGGACCTGAGAAAAGGATTAGGCCTTGAAATCCCAGTGCCTGCTCTACCCTCCACCTCTCCCTGCTGTGGAGTCTGAAGGAGGCACTGGCTTGCTTATCAGCCCAGGAGGCTCCCAAAGTGAATGAAGAGGAAGGGTATGAATCACTCAGATCCTAAGGTTGCCATTTGCCTCCTTTCCTAGCAGCCACTTAAGGCCATCTAGCAGTGTAGTCCAGGGGCAAAAAGCCCAAGAATGGGTATCGCCCTTGTTTGTTCTGTGTCCTGCTCAGAGGGGGGCATCCCAGCCAGCACTTGAGAGGGAGTCTGAGGATCTTTTCAGGGCTAACTAGGTGCTACTTCTTGGCCTTCTTTGCCAAGGGACAGCGAGAGTCTTCCGGACTGGGCGCCTGTGCTCGGCTGGCCGGATTCACATGGGTCGGGGTTCGCATGGGTGGATGTGTGGGCCTTGGGAACGAGAAGAATTTAACCGGGCCTGTCCAGAAGGGGCCGTAGTCCACACTTGGGGAGCCATTTGTTTTAAGAAGGGTCTGAGCGCCCTGTGCAAGGCGTGGGGGCGTAGGGCGCCTGGGATCCGCCCCCTGGATCCATCCCCCGCGGCGCAGTCGCCTTCCCGCCCTCCAGCCGCAGCTACCGCACATCTGGCCGTCCTGGGCGCATCTGGGTAGCCGGCGCCGGAGCATGAACGGCTCGCAGGCGGGTGCCGCGGCTTGGGCCGCCTGGCTGAGCTCCTGCTGCAACCAGTCAGGGGCGCCTGCGGAGCCCCTTGAGGGTCAGCGCGCGGTGCAGGCAGCGGTGCTGGGCGTGTTGTCGCTGCTGGTACTCTGCGGGGTCCTGTTCCTGGGCGGCGGCCTCCTCCTCCGCGCCCAGGGTCTGACAGCGCTGCTGGCCCGCGAGTGGCGCGCGTCCCGCGATGCCGAGCCCGGCGGCGCCAGCGGAGGCGACGACGACTCCTAGGTGCCTGGTTGCGCTTGGGGGTCGCGGCCTCCAGGTGACTTCGGACTCCCGCCGCCCAAGCGCGCGTCCGACGGCCGCTGCAGTCCCGGTGTCTTCCCCCGAGGCGGGTACGCCGCGCACAGGTGAGGGCCGGGAGCGCAGCGGGTCTGGGGGTGCGGGGCGGACGGTGGTGACCTTACTGAGGGCGCCTCTCTGGGCACAGCCAGGGCGACTGGAGAACCAGCGACTCTGGTTCCCGGCTCTGTAAGTCCACAGGGGGTGCGGCTGCAGCCCCAAGTCCCAGGTGTGCCGGGATCAGAGGGAGGAGGCTGTCCCTCCCTCACTCCCCGATTGCCTCTCCTGTAGGAGTGGCCCTCTCCCATCTTAAGTGTTCCCACCTTACGTCCTTTTTCTAGGAAGAGAAGGTCAGTGTAACTTTGGGAGAGGGGAAGCTGGCCGATCAAAGAGGAGGGCATCTGGAGGGCCGCAATGCTTTGGGGCCCTTCCCGGGCACCCACACCTCTCCCCACGTTCTGCCTCTGCCCCAGCCCCACCGGGTACTAAGGCCCACCTCAGCGGCGCCCCAGCACTGCCCATTCTGCTGGAAGGCTGCGGAGAGACACGCCACAAAAACGCAGACAACCCAGCTTCTGGCTCAGCTTCCTCCCCTTCACTGCTTCCTGAAGACTTTTCCCTGGAAGGGGGTTCGAGTAGGATTCCTCGCTGTACCCCCCCCCCCTCAGTCAGGGAGTGGGAGGATGTGTCTGAGGGTAGAGCCAGGGCCCTGAGGACCCTGGGGAATGGGGAGATGTGCCAAAGCCCCCTCCATGCCCCTGTGCAGGTTGGCGGGTGAGGGGAGGCGCTGATGTAGCTCAGAGCAAGGGGCTTTGTGTGTGTGTGTGCTGGGAGGGAGGGTGTGATGGCAAGGTTTCCAGCAGCTGAGGGGCCTCAGGAGCATGTTGCTCCAGGAAGTGTAGCTGAGGAGTCCCAGCTGTGGGGGCTCTGAGTCTCCTGCCTCTGTCTTTCCAAGGACAGGAACCATCTGGAGAGAAGGGCCTGGGTGGCCCCAAGGACAAGGTAATTCCAGGCCGAGGCCACCTGGGGCAGAGCCACAGGAGCTGGGTGGGGAGAAGACTTCACTGTTCCTTCCCTCTCTTCAGCTTTATACCCAGGAGCTCATGGGGGATTTCTGTGGGTGGGGGTGTCTTGGAGGTGCCTCTGACCTCTCTTGCTCCTCCCTGCTTGCTGGTGCTCCACCCCTGCTTGGGCAGGTCGTGGGCAGGGTCTCAGTTTTTCTCTGAGAAGTAGTCCAGCTGGGTGCATGGGGGGAGTCGGGGCTGAGAAGGGGCAGGGGAGGGTGTGGGCAGGTGCAGCTAAGCAGCTGTGAAGCTGACGATGTGTGATCCCTGCCGAGCAGCCCAGGATTTGGCACTAAGCCTGGGCAGCCATGCTACACTGGCCTTGCTGAGCTGTGACTTCTCACCTCAGGGACACCGCCCCACCCCCTTGGAGAGAGAGCTGTCCAGGGCAGTGAGGGTGTCTGTGTGTGTTAGTGTTCCTGGCATAAGGGCGGCTGGTTGGGCACAGGGGATATTCCCCACCTACCTTGTTGTGTCCTGGGGGAAGGGGTGGGGAACTCCCTCTGTTTATTGTATCTAGGTTCTCCCAGCCCTCTTGAACCTGTGCTCTCCTTTCCTTCCCCAACTGCGATAGAGGGTCATTCTACAAATGGGGAAGCTCAGAGAGAAGTGACATGCTCAGGTGGATGACAGAGCTGGAGCTGGGCCCTGGGGCTGCTGACTCCAAGCCAGGGCCCATTCTCCCACTTGGTCTGCCCCGTGCCCTCCCCTGCTTTCCTGCCACTCGTTGAGGTGCTGATGCAAAATTTGGCCTCTCTCCCCACATTTGGCATGCAGTTCACAGTTTGGGTCAGGGACTCAAATCCCAACCCCCTGTGTCACTGTCTCCCTCCTGTCCTTACTTTCCTAGCGGCCTTATTAGATTCCTTCCTATTGCTGGAAACAGTCTTCCAGATACCAGGAAGAAGCTCCCCAGCCAGCTGGTCTCAGCCCTCCTGGTCTGAACCTGAAGGGTGGAGATGGGCTTGGAGGGTCAGCTGGAATAAACATCTATGGGAAAACATCTAAGTGGTCAGAGCAGAGAGACTGGAGCTGAAGGGTGATGACCTTTGGTTTGGCCTTTCACCTGGGTTCAAGTCCAGGTTGTATTAGGGTGTAGAGTGACTCTATGGAGTGAAGGGCTGTGTCTCCAGTGTTACCATGTCTGCTCACAGCCAGGACCGGTTGGGCTGGGTGGGGGGAATAGAGAAGTAGGGGAAGGCTTTCTTCATGCAACTTTCTGCCTTTGCTGTCCCTTCTGCTCAGTGCTTGGAGAGCTGGGTGTGGGGTGTGCTGGGGACCTCGATGTTCCTGGTGGAAGATACTGAGACATTTGCTATGGAACTCTGACCCTGGTCAAGGCTGTCAGGCTGAATGGGGAGGAAAAGAATTTGGAAAATTGGGAAGTGTGTGCTGCTGTCACCCCCTCTCATAGGCTCCAGCTGGAAGTGAGCAGTGGGCGATGGGTGCAGGTCTGGTGCCATAGAGAGAAGCCAGGCATCTGGACTCCCAGCAAGTCCTGTTGACCTGTGCTGTTCATGGGGCTGGGCCCACTGAAGGGTTGAGATCTTGCCTTAACCTTTCTGCAGCCCCTAAGCTTTACCCTGAGATGAAAAGGCTGTCAGGGGTTTATCCAATCTATTCTTCGGCCTCCACACAATGCAGCTTTCTTTCCAACAAAGATGAGCTGGCTATCTCTTACAGATTCCTGAGCATGGAATGATCTGCCTCCCAGAGAGCTCTCTTTCCAGCCGCCATACTGGGAACCCCTGCCACCTTTGACCCATTCACGGTGCAGATGACAGACTGGGAGACACCTGGACTGTGGTGAGACCTCCACCTGGGATCCTTGCACCCAGTTGCTGCCTCTGAACTGCTCCACTCAACCTCCTGAAGTACTCCAGGATGTGGGCTTGGGAGGTCTGCACTCCAGGAGGGGATAAGCCCATTTGGCGACCACTGTGTGTCCTGGGCACTGAAGTGGCCGCACACCCTGGATGCCCAGTGCAGCAGACGCTGGCTGTGCCCTTTGCCTGCTGGGCCTCTGAGAACATGAGCACAGCCCCTGTCCCATTTGGTGCAGGGCACAATGGTCTGACAGGCCAGTGACCTGTCCCTGTGGAGGGCTGTGGGTTGGTGACACATATTTGGAAACCTAGAATGCCCCAGCAATCCAGCAATGCCTTGTCACTTTCTATGACTTGTTATTAAATATGCTGGTAATGTGAGTTTTGGGTATACAGTTTGTTTCTAGCCCTTGACTCTTAGAATTAGTGGTTTGTTTCCCCACTCCACTCCAGTTTTACCTGTTTCTAGAAGATACTGAAATAGCAACCCCAGCCATGGCCCCTCCCCCCTGGTTTCTCCCTAGTGGTGGCCATTCCCCCTCCCACCCTCACATCCAAATCTTTCTGAGGGTGCATGTGAGGAAGGGTGGAAAGTGACTCTCATGTCAGCACTTGACTGCCCCTTGTGGCCAGTGTGAATGAACAGCACTGATTCATTCGACCAGACACTGTTGGAGTCTGATTAGAGTCCTCCCGAGCCCTGCGCTTTCAGATAAGAGTGGATTTTGTGTGTGCACCAAATTCCAGATTGTAAGCCTTCTTGATCCTCAGTCTCTTCATCCATAAAATGAAGAAGATGATGTTGTTGTGAGGATCGAATATGCAATATGCTTGTCCATTGATAAAAGGCTTTCTGCACTCTGATTGTCAAGTGATGTTATTATTTTCCCTGAGCCCAACCATCCCCAGAAGAGAGAAGAGAAGAGAGGAGGTGCAGAACCACCTACCCTGTTTTGTTCCTGGGAACACTTCATTTATTCATCTTTTCCATGAGTACTTATCGAGTGACTGCTCTGTGCCAGGCAGGCTCTGGGAACTGGGGAGGAGGAGATAAATGAGATGAGGCCCCTGCCCTCGAAGAGCTCACAGTCTAGGAAAGAGCTGGGCTTGTAAAACTGAAGTTAACTATACTGGCCATCCACCAGAACAAAAAAAATAGGATCTGGCTTGTGTCGTTTTTTGTTAGGATGAAATGAAACTCATATATGGGCTTAGCATGGCAGCCGGTACAGAGTAAATGCACAGTAAGTGTTGATGTTTTTAGTTCTTGGTCACCACATGAGACAGGATGTTGTCTCAGTTGCCTTTCAGGTTCGAACCTATCAAGAAAGAGGGGGTCATCTCTTGGGGCACTCAGGCCAAACCCCAGATTTGCTGCGATTGGGCCTCTGACTTTGTGCTAACCCTGAAGTGGTACTATGCTGAAAGCATGGAATATTCTAGCCCTCAATCACATGCTGTTACTTGGGTTTGGGGTAAAGGGGGGGACACCCCAAACCACAGGGCCCAAAGCAGAGAGATGTCTGTTCACCAAATTGAGGTCTGTTTAGTCCTGGGGTGAGCCAATGCCAGGTGGCCATAAACCAATCCATGGCTGCTGCAGATGGGGACCATAGGCAGAGGGGGCTGCTGGTGCGTTCAGTTTGAGGCATGTCAGGGATGTCCAAAGGGAGCTGTCAGGTGGACAATTAATATATAGGGCTGAGGCTCAGCACAGAGAAAGTTCTGGGCCATGATGTCACTAGAGATGAAAAGATGAAGCTGTGGGAATGGATCAGGTGGAGGGGAGAAGGCAGGAGACAGAAGCTGCAGCCCTGGTAGATCACCACTTAAATGAAGGTGGGGCAGGAGAGGAACTGGCAGGGAGACAGAGGAGGAGCACCCAGAGAGGTAGGAGGGAAGCTGGGAGTGAGCTATCTTGGGAGTCGGGATAGACAGGATTTCAGAAACTGAGGGGTTGGCCAGGAACATCCATGCCCCCCGCAGTTCTGGTGTGCTGGGAAGGAGCCTACAGCCTGGGAGCTTGGAGGGAAGAAGTGGGGAAGGCTTCAGCCCACCTAAGCTACCCCCACCACCACCCCTCAGCCTTGGAAAAAGAAAGTGGCTTTATGGTTCCCTCTGTGCCTGTGAGCCCATTGCAGGGAGAAGAATGGATTTGTTTTTTATAGTATGCTCCTTTGTACTATGTGAATGCACGATTCACTGAGGCAAAATAAAACAATAAAAAATAAAAGAAACCAGAAAAAGGAACCTCATCCTGCTCCACAGCTGCCGGGCTTCCCTTTCAAGCTGCAGCAACTTCTGTGCGTCCTGCCAGGAGGACTGGGGCTTCAGCCACACACCCCATGCCTGTGGTTCCTCTGGCTACCTTGTCCCTGCTCAGAACTACTCCACTTAAGTGATACCTACTTAAGATGCTGTGCCTTAGGATTATGCCTTCTATTCTTTCAACCTGCTCATTCATACATTTTTCACTATGGTTCTTTGACCCTTCCTGCCCCCTTCTTTCCTCCTCTAGTTTAGATTCCATGGTCCGTTGCCTCTCGCCCATGCCCTAACTTTACCCTTCCAGAGAACTGTCCTGGTAAAACCTCAGCCCTGGGTGACCACAACTCTGTTCTTTGAACTTGCACCCGGGCTGCTGAGTGCCCCTAAAGAACATCACACCCCTGGGCAGACAGGTGGCACTAAGCATGGTCACCAGCCCTCCTGGACCCTTGCCACTGCCCGGTGGTGGCTCCAGCCAGCTCTCTCTTCTACTGCTGCATAACTGCAAGCTTTCTCCACTCTCTCAAACCCTGACCCTCCCACCTTCCTGAGCTCTGCTCAGATGCCCTCATCTCCTACTTCTCACAGAAAAGAGAAGCCAGCAGAGGAGGGCTGCATCCTCCATCTCCACATGCCCTCCCACACCACATCTGTGCTGCAGAGTGTCCATCTTTACTTGCTCCTCTGCTGGCCTGGATTTCTTCCACCTTAAAATAGCCCTCTTTTGCACCCACTGCCTCCTCCAGCCAAACTTCTTGGCAGCCAGACTTCTCACAAGAGCTCCCCGCACTTGCTGGCCGTCCCCACTCCCTTGCTTCCTCCGTGTCCCCAAGTCCTCTCCATCGCAGGCTGACCAGCCAAATCACCAGCTCCTGGGGTGCTTGCTCCAAAGGCTGCTTTCCAGTTCTTATATCGGCCACTCTCCTGGCCACTTCTGCTCTCTGGTGATGTGGGCAGGAGAGACTGAGGTCATGGGCTCCAGAACAGTACTGTCTGGGACCCAGCCCTGGGTCTGCCACTTTTTGTGTAACCTTAATTCTTTCCCTCATTAGGAAAATAGAATGATGCCACCCCCTGCCCCTTGGTGAAACTCACACGAGATGATGTGCATGTCACCATTTGGGCACCTGGGTTCTGGGCACCTGCCTGGGTTTGCTTCCAGGCTGCCCAGCTCCCAGCTCTTTGCCCTTGAGGAGTTTTGGTGGCCTCTTGCCTGTCCCCGCCCCCCAAATCCTGCGTCAGCATCTCTTTCCTCTCCCAACACTTGCATGCCAGCTCAGGCCTCTGTCTTCCCCAGGTGCTCTCCCCTTTCCCTGGAGCTGAAATTGCCATCTCTATTCCCATAACTCTGACATCAGCCCCCGCCTCACCTGGCTCTGGAATGCACCACATAAGTTCATCCACCAATTCCACAAAGATGTATTGAGCAGCTGCTCTGGGTAGCCACTGTTCTAGGCACTGGAGAACATATTGCACACGAGACAGGGAGGTCCCTGTCCCCCACTCCCTCCTGCCCAAGCCAGTGTGCGTCCTGGCAAGAAGGGGCATTCAATGGACCTGTGACCATACATGAGGTAATTGCAGATCGTGACAGTGGGATGGACACTTGTGGGGTGACTTCAGTGAAGGTGGTCAGGGAAAACCTCTCTGAAGTGATGACATTTGAACTGAAATTGGACCCGTGAGGGAACCCAGCCAGGGAGGAGCTGGGCCCCAGTGTTCCTGCCAGAGGGACGACGGTTGAACAGGTCCCACAGTGGGAATGAGTTTGGTGCATCTGAGGGACCGAAAAAAGGCTAGTATGACCAGGGCTTAGTGAGTGGGAGGGAGAGCCGTGTGGGACACGGGGAGGAAGGCTGCCAGGGCACAGCGAGCAGCGGATTTGTTTCCAAGCACAGCTTCTTCCCCAGGGGACCATCCCTGCTGTTCTTTCTCACTCCTCCCCAGCAGCTGTCCTCCATTCCCCTCTCGCCTTCCCCTCCACAGCTAGCCCATCATCAAATGTGGTCCACCCTGTCTCTAAGAAAGCTTTGCTCCGTCTCCCCGGCCACCACCCTCACCTCTCACCTGGTGCTTACGTCCACTGGTACTTCTCAGCCCACCCCTTCTCCACACTGTCAACTGAGTTGTCTTTAAAAAAGATGGGCCGGCCCGTGGCTCACTCGGGAGAGTGCGGTGCTGAAAACACCTAGGCCCCGGGTTCGGATCCCATATAGGGATGGCCGGTTGCTCACTGGGTGAGCGTGGTGCTGACAACACCAAGTCAAGGGTTAAGATCCCCTTACCGGTCATCTTTAAAAAAAAAAAAAAAAAAGGAATATCCCATCAAGCCACTTCCCCATCATGGCTTTTCACTGCTCGTAGGTTAGAGTCCAGAAATCTTCCTGCGGTCCCCGAGCTGTGGCCCTCTCGGGTCTCTGCTCCTTCTCCTGTGTCTCTCTGGGCTTTTGAAAATGCTGTTCCCACCCCCTCTGCTCATTGCCTGACTGACCGCTCCAGCTTCTTCAGGTCTGAGAGGTCCCCTCCTCAGAGAAGCCTTTCCCGGTCCCCTGCCAGCTAACTGGGGTCCCCGTCAGGCATTCCCATAGTACACTGGGATTGCCCCGTGGGTCTCCCTTCATGTGTTTAGTTACACACTGAGTGTCTATTCTCAGATGCTATGTAAGCTCCACGAGAATAGGGCTTATGATTGTGTTCATTCACTGATAGTGCCTGGCACATAGTAGGTGCTTGTATTAGTTCATTTTGTGTTGCTATAACAGAATACCTGAAGCAGGGTAATTTATAAAGAACAGAGGTTTATTTGGCTCACAATTCTGGGACAGTTGCGTCTGGCATGGGTCTCAGGCTGCTTCTACTCATGGCAGAAAGTGGCAGGCTGCCAGCGGATACAAGCAGATCACATGGCGACAGGAAGCAAGAGAGAGAGGAGGTGCCAGGGTCTTTTAAACAACCAGCTCTTACGGAACTAATAGAGTGAGATCTCACTCATTAATCCCCCTACCTAGGGAGAGCATTAATCCATTCATGAGGGATCTGCCCCCATGGCTGAAACAGCTTCCAGCATTGCTACATTGGGGATCAGATTTCCACATGAGTTTTGGTGGGGACAACACATCCAAACTCTATCAGTGCTCAATAAATATAAGTTCAAGGAATGAAGGGTTGAGCTCCACAGAGAGGCTGGGAGGGTATGATGGAGAGGCGTCTCCCTGGCCTGCTCCTGCCCCTTGAGGCTGGCTCACACGCCCACACTCATCAGCCCTCACCCAACAAGATGAGAGCTCACCACGTGACGTCTTGGCAGCCTCCGTCCTGAGCCATCTGGCCTTGACGCCTCTTCAGCTCTGAGCCCCCCACTATTCCTGATCTCCCTCATCTGCCTTCTGCCCTCAGACCTGTGGGTGAATGATGCCGCTTCCTGGCGCAGGTCTTGGGTTCTTTCTTTGACTACTATTTGTTCTTATTTCCTGGATCATAACTGCCTCTAGCTTCTCTGAGAGATTTCTGCACCCAAGATAGACGGCCCAAACGCCTGGCCCAGGTGGGCTGGTTCCAGGTGATGCCAAAGTTCAAGGGGGTGGGGTTGAGCAGAG